CTGCCAGCTCTGGGGATTTTGGACCCAGACCCAAACGATTCCTCTTTTTCCCATTTAACCCCGAAAGAGCTGTTCTGAAGAAGCACAGGAGAAGCTTTCGGGGGAGCAAAGCCCCTGCGTTCCCGCCCCGGAGTGGGGAATGTGCCATAGAGGCAGGACAAAGCGGCTCAAAGGGCTGCAGCCCCCTGCCCGAGCCGAGCCTTAGGGGAGGGTGAGGGTCTCAGCTTACCCGGCCTCTCATAAAAGTCTCCTCCATTCTAGCAAATAACCTTTATGTCCAGGGACTTGCAAAGTTTGCTTTCTCCCTCCAGGGTTAGTCACAGCAGGAGTGACAGAGAAAGCAACCGCTTGTAGGAGGTTCCTCTGCATAATAACCTCAGAGGAGTTTAGGTCTAAAGACTAAAAGGCTCTATTTACTTTCACTGACAAGGAACAATCTAAGCAGATGTCCTTTGATGGGATTAGTTATTAATCCTTGAATCATGGGTAAATGGGAAAATGATCCATTATTTTCTGCAAAATCCTTCACTACTTTAGATTTCAAGGATGGGGTGGAGGATTGTTAGCAGAAAGGTCTCGACCTGTCTGTTTTGGCCGTTTTAAAATGTATTTTTACAGTTTGTGCCGTGGAGCGTGACTCTGAAATAAAATTAAAAAAAAAACCTCAAGAAAAAGGGGTTTGATTTCACTGATGGCCGAGAACAATGTGCCGAGTCAGACACTCGGCAACGATGGGCCCAGGCATTTCTTGGATAAATACCTTGAGGTTTAAAATAATATCAATATTAATATTAATATTAATATTAATAATAATAATAGCAACAACTCCCCCCTCTAAAAACATATTCTACAAAGAGCTTTGGCAGCTCTGCCTAAGTGTTTAGATGCTCCTGATGTCTCTGTGTCCCATCAGTGACAAACAGCAGCGGAGCCCCCGTCGGTCAGATGGGGCTCAGCGTCGGCTTGGGCATCCCATAAATAGTGTGTGTAGGTGGGTGAGATGCGTGGGATGAGGGAGGGATGGGAATTGCTGGTGAGACACACCAGGTTGGCTCAGGGGGCTCGTTCTCCCCCGGCTGTAAATCCGTGCAGACGATTTCTGGTGCAGGGGGAGGTGTGGCCACGGGCTGGGTGGAAGATCCTGTCCTGCACCGAGGGGCTGGAGGACACACTGGTGGAGCTTCTACCCATGGATCACCCCAGCCCCTTGCCCCCCACGGGAGAGCAGAACCAGGGGCTGCAGTTCCCGGCAGTTCACCCATCCCTCAGTGCTGTGGCCGCAGCTCAACGGAGTGAATATTAACAGTCCCGAGACAGCCACTCACCCCGAACTCTGCCTCCAAGTCTCCCATGTAGGGAAAGCAGGAATAGATTCCCAATGAATAATTTACTCCGCTTTCTTTTGATTTGCGTTCTGATTGTGCACAGCAGTGCAGGCTCGGAGGGGGAAACATATTCTGATTAAAGATTTATACTGGGCCTATAATTTTGTTGTTGCTGTTTAAATCTACTTCAAAGTGTGAGTAGGGTGGCTGCAAAATAAACACTCTGGAGAAGCCAGGAGCTTTTGGGCCATCTCAGGGTGCGAGTGTGGGGGTGCACAGCATGTGCAAAGCATGTGGTTTCATGGATGCAAATTTTGCACTGGCTCTCTGGAAAGGTGCTGTCCCAGGCATCCTCCTCATATCAAATCCAGCCAAACAGGGATTGAAATGCCCTCTGTTGCCTCAGACTACTGATTCTGGGTTCCTTCTCCTAAGCTGAGACCACATCTCAAAAAATGAGAAATAATATGAATTTGGACTTTTTTCTTTTACTACTCTTTTTCTGTTCTTTTGCTATTCTTCCATCACACAAAGAACAGTGTCTGGTTGCAGGGAGTGATTAGACCTGGAGCTGGAAGAGGCTCTAACTAAAGGTAACCCCACATATAGGGAGGAACCAAACTTGAGCTTCCAGCTTCCTCTGTTATCAAAACTTGGAAATATGGGAGTGCAGCACTCCAGGTCCTTCCCAGGCTACCAGCTGAGTGAACAGAGCAGAGGATTTTTCTTTCCTTCCTCCCTCTTCCTCTGGCTGCCATGTCCCCAGCAGGCAGACTCACTTCCCAGTGCAGCCAGAGAGCACCTCTGGCACAGAGGGAGCTGTGGGACAAACAGGATCATCCTGCATTCCCTAAAGAGCCTTTGGATAAACCCTTGGTGTTGCCATCCCCATGTCTAGTTGACTGGGGAAGAGGGAGACCTGGTTTCTGGAGCTCCCAGCCTGCTCCTGGGAAACAGCAGCTTGCATGAAGTGGAGTTTTGTAACAAAAATGTTTTGTGGGATATTTTGGGGCTGGCTGGTGGCATTCAGCTGACTGAACATGTTGGTACAAAGCCCTGCCAGGAGAAACCCCTCAGAGATGGATGGCTTTGATCCCACTCTTCAAACCATCTTCCCAGGATGGGGAAACTCATCTCTGGAAGCGCTGGGAAGTCTGTGGATGCTCCAGATCCTCTAGGGGAAAGACAGGTCCTTGCCTCATCTGCATGGGTTGGAAACCTTGCAGGCTGCCCACAGACCTGGCTGCTATCGTTGGCTCGGTCAGCAAAGAGTCAGAGAATCGTGGAATGATTTGGGTTGGGAGTGAACATAAAGCTCATCTCGTCCCATCCCTCTGCCATGGGCAGGGACATTTTCAACTAGATCAGGTTGCTCCAAAGCTTATCCAACCTGGCCTTGAACACTTGCAGGGATGTGGCAGCCACAGCTTCTCTGGACAACCTGTGCCAGGGTCTCACCACTCTCAAAGCCAAGAATTTCTTCCCAATATCCCATCTTACCCTGCCCTCTGGCAGTGGAACCCATTTTTGTCCTGTCTGGTCAGGTCCTTATGCCGTGGAAGGGGCTCTCAGGTCTTCCTGGAGCCTTCTCTTCTCCAGGTGAACACCCCCAGCTCTCTCAGCCTGTCTCCAGAGCAGAGGGGCTCCAGCCCCTGAAGCACCTCCGTGGCCTCCTCTGGACTCACTCCAGCAGCTTCACATCCTTCCTGTGCTGGGGGCAGGGCTGGAAGCAGCTCTGCAGGTGTGGATCTCACCTGAGTGGAGCACAGGAGCCGAATGCCCCCCTGAGGTGCTGCCCACGCTGTGGGATGAGCCCAGGCCAGCGCTGACGTTCTGTGCCGCCGGTGCCCGGGAGCGGGTCCCGCCAAAGCCCATCCCTGTGGTTTTACTCCTGTCCGAGGAATTCAGACCAGACCGAGGAACTCCCCAGCCACGCAGCACGGGGGTCAGTGGAACACGGAAACAACCCACTGAGGCCCGAATTTCCCCCGCTCTGCAGCCTCGCGGTGCCCCAAAGTCGCCCCCGGCCCCCCCCGCGGTGATTGACAGCTGTCAATCAGCGCCGCCAGCCCCGCCCTCTGCCGCCACCTGGCGGCGACGCGGAGAAACGCGCCGGGGCGGGGGCGACCCCCCAACCCCACCCCCCGTTCCCCAAAATCGGGGGGGTCGGCATCGGGAACAGCTGGGCTGTACGGGCATTAAAGGGAATAAAGGGTCAGAGCAGAGCCCTCGTGGGGTGGGGAAGGGGATCTTTCCCCTTCCCCCCAGTCAGTTTTGGGGTGAAAAGACTGTTTTTCGCTGGGAGGCAGTTCTTGGCCTGGTTTAGTTGAAACCATACAATCATGGAATTGTTATGGTTGGAAAAGGCCTCCAAGATCGAGTCCAGCTGTTCCCCCAGCACTGCCAAGGCCACCACTAAACATTTCCCCAAGTACCACATGTCTGTTAAATCCCTCCAGGGATGGGGACTCCACCTGGGCAACCTGTGTCAGTGCCCAACCATCCTTTCGGTGAAGAAATTCTCCCGAATATGCAACCTAAACCTCCTCTGGTGCGACCTGAGGCTGTTTCGTCTTGTGTCCCTTGCTCCCTGGGAGCAGAGCCAGACCCCTACTTGGCTCCAACCTCCTGTCAGGCAGTTGTAGAAAGTGAGAAGGTCCCCCCTGAGCCTCCTTTTCTCCAGGCTGAGCCCCCACAGCTCCTTCAGCCTCTTCTTGTGCTTCAGACCTTCCCCAGCTCCACTGCCCTTCTCTGGACACACTCCAACCCCTCAATGTCTTTGTCGTTGTGAAGGGCCCAGGATTCGAGGTGAGGCCCCCAGGAGCTGGGTGCTGCTGCCCTTCCTGCAGGCATCAGCCTCACAGCATTCCTGGGTGTATCCTGAACCCAGAGGTACCCAGCTGGGGTGTGTGACTGGGACCCCAAACCAAAGGTAGGTCCTCAGGAGCTCACACTTACCTGGCACACTGGCTGGAAGCCCAACAGAAATCCACCCCTGGGTGGAGGGAGGCCTCGTTCTTAAGTCAAGCCCCCACCAGGAAAACCTTTGGGTAGGAAAGGCAGTGCCTGACCTGGAAGGAGACTGCAAGGGTCTGTGGGAGCCACAGCACGGCGTGTCTTGGGGTGTCCATTCCAGCCCAAGGACTCGGCGCCTCCAGCAGTAAGGCACCAGAAACTGGGTGGTGGGGACCACCATCTCCACTGAGAGTATCCCAGGGGAGCCAAGAGCATCCCAAGGCATCTGAGAGCATCAAAGAGCAGCCAAGAGTACCCCAGGACAGCTGTCACCCCTCCTCAGGGTGGCCTGTGGGGAGGGGACTCTCCACGAGCCAGGGGTATCTTGGTCCTCAGCCTGTTTGAATCCCTTGTGGACACGAGACAGGGAGACTGGGAACAGCTGAGCAGGACAGAGGGGTAACGCCCTGCTCCTGCATCCCCGGGGCTGCTCCAGGTGTGTCCCTCTGCCAGGCCACTGCTTTTCATCCAGGTGATCTCAGGCCCATGTGCCCAGTGGGAGCAGGGACAGCAGTGTTACCTGCGGCCACCAAGAGCAGGTGAGAGAGGAGCAGCCCCACCTTGCCGGGATCTCTGGCAGGAACTGGAGGCCAGAGAGACACACCCTGCTGCACCCTGCCATGGGGAGGGCAGGAAAGAAAGAGCCAAAGGCATGGAAAATTATCAGAAACGTGTATTTTTTTTCTTTTTAATAGTAAACCTCTTTACAACAAATATAGTGAAAGAGTTTCCAAACAAAACTCATAAGAATTTCTCATCGTAATTATTATTATTATCATCATTTTTTTATATATTTTTTTTTCTTATTGTGGAATATACAATAACGCATCACCATACAGCACAAAAAAGGAATATTGAAAAAACGAAACAGACGTCTCAACCACGTGCTGCAGTCCCTGGGAAGGAGCCACTGATTGTCAAGGGAGCAGGGACAGGAGGGGATGGGAATGGGGGGCGATGGCATCCCCAGGGTGGGGGAGGTTCTCGGTCAGGCCAGACCCCAAGGGTGCAAATACTCCAGAGAAAGATGGAATTATTCAAAAATCTCGGTTAAAACGTTACAAGCTCTCAGCATAAATCCTCCCTCCCCTTCCACTGCTGCTTCTGGGCTTCTGCTGCATCGCCCCCGGACAGTTGGACATGGGGAAGGGGACACCCTGGTCCCCCGGAGAGCTGGACACGGGGAAGGGGACACTGTGGTCCCCACTCAGAATCCCTTGACTCGCGCACACACACACACACACACGGGTGGAGGAGCATCAGGAAAAGAAAAGAGGTTAAAAATATATATATATATTATAGATACACAGTTTATTTTTTTTTCCTTTTAAATTGCTTCTCAAAACAATAAATAAAACTCCTCAGGGGAAGTGCACGTCCTGTTTTGTTTCTACCTGTGCAGCACCCTGGGGAGAGGATGCAGAGCTGCCTGTGCTGTTACAGACGGGCTGAGCGGGGAGATCCAACGAACCATCACACAGAGAAGCTGAGGGAGAGGGGATTTATGTTTGTTTTTTTTTTTCTTTTAGTGCATCATTTAAAGGGTCTATTCTATTTTACAAAGGTTGTTGCAGACACCCCAGAGTTTGCTAACACCTACCTGCTTTACTGAGCTACAGGGAACCAGAGGCGTGAAGGGGATGGGGGAGACCCAACCCAGAGGCCATGTGGGACACAAAAGGGGAGCAGCAGCACAGCCGTGATGGTCTCCACCTCTTCAGTGTCCTATTTGTCTGCACACTGCTCAGAAAGAGCCGTGGGGAGGAGGGGTGTCGTGGCCTGAGCTGGGCTGCTTCACCCCTCAGCCTTGCAGGAGATGCTGGGAGCCCACGGGGACATCTCAGCATTGTCCCACGACAGCGTGTTTCCCTGTGGAAAGGATGTTCCATAAGGCTCTGCAGTGGGTTTGTGCCCAGAGAGCGAGGAACTGGGCTGGTCTCTACATCTCGGTGGCACCAGCAGGAAAATCCCGCTCTGCAAACCCAGCCGAAGGGAAGAAATCCCTCATTTGTGGGTGGGATGCAGGGGGGGAACAGCTCACCCCGGCTCACCAACGCCTCTCCCCGCAGCACTGGGCTGGGGATGTTGTAAAACCTCCAGTTCCCGGAAAACTACTTCAGACTGCTCGGAGACGATCCCGGCGCAGCCTGAGCCACACCACCCTCTTCTGGCTTAAGGAAAGCACATTCCAAACAGGCATCGCTCCAGAGAACGGAGCTCGGGAGGAAGAAACTGGAAAACAGCGTGGTTTTCCACTCGCTAGGGAGGAGAGGGGAGCTGGAATGACCTCATCCATTCCTCCGAGGTCCCTGATTCCTGCCGGGAGTGTAGCAGAGAGCGGGAGCATCCCTGCACGCCAGGAACCTCCTTATACCCAAGGCTCACTTAAATATCCTCCTGCATGTTTCTGACCTCTCCAGACCCATGGGGGGACACGCCAGCGTGTTGGGAACCCTGTGGAAAAGCATCCCTGGTGTGAAGCCATTGCCAAGTGGCTGCTCCCAGCTGGGAGCCCGGCCAGGTCTGGGTCTGGGACACGGAAACTTGGGGAGCAGGGAGGGACGGGGAGGGGGGTGCAAGGGAAGAGCCAAGAGGGTTAAACAAGAAATCGCTGTACAACTCGGCCATGTCCAAAGTCAGTATTATTACAATATACTCTGACAAAAATATAATCTCATTTCATATCAATACAACGAAAAAAAACCCCAAAACCAGTTTTCTGTACTGTTACCATCGCTAACAGATTGAAACTCGCTATTTACAGTTACAGTAGCCAGGTAAAACACTACAGGTGAGAGACCAGAGAGAGGAGGGGCAGAGGGACACAGAGGAGATAAAATCTCTGGAGGAAAGGGGAAAATAAAGGGGGAAAGGCCCTCTTACATCCCGAGCATGGCTTCTGGCATTGGAAAGGGAAGGGTGATGGATGGAGGTAGTGAAAACATAATACTTGGTTTACGGGTCTGGTTGGGATTTTTTGTGGAAGAGAAAAAGAAACAAAAAAACAAACCAAACCAAAACAAAAAAAAGATAGAAAAGGAGAAAAAAGAGAAAAGAAAGAAAAAAGAGAAGAAATAAAAGTGAAGTGAAAGGGGAAGGCAAAGGATAAACATGGGAAAGGGAAACGAGCAAACGTTCAGCTGAAGCCCATAGTTATGGACTCGCCCACAGCCCTGGGAGAGGTGGAAAGGGATGAATTTTTGCCACTTTAAGTGGTAAAAATCCCCAAAATATTCCCAAATTGTGCCCTCAGCCAGAAGGATGGGAGGGCAAGGCAGGATGTGGCACCAGGGATGGCACGACCAAGGCATGGCTGGGAATATCCTTCCTCATCCAATGGATGCTCACCCCAGCAACACAGAGGGATCCGTGCGAAGGGGACCCCTGAAATGTTGAGGGCCCCTCACCCCTGGCAGAGCTCTAGGCTGGCAGAAGCAGTTTGCAGCCTTTTCCCCAGAGCTGGTGACAAACTTCACAATTCCCATCCAAAGCGTTAGGGGGAATCTCCCAAATGAGCAACATAAGGGAAGAAAAAAGTGCAGGAGGTGAAATTTTCAAGGAAAAGGTGGGGTTTTTTTGTAAATTTGCTTTTTTCCCTGGTTTGCCAAGACTATTTTGGGAGGGAAGATGGAAGTGAAAAAGGGGGGAAGAAAAGGAAACTCTTTCTCTTTGCCCCACTTTCCCCCAGGACCACGCACGGCCCGTTGCCAGCAGCTCTGGATTTAACACTTCCATCACCCTCCAATCCCAACACTGGCAGCAGCCCCAAACACACAACAGCAGCAAAACCCTTCCCCAAGGGTCTCCTTGCCACCACCCCTGGTGGTGCCCCTCGCACAACCACAACACACTGCCGGACCCCCCAGCACCGACGCCCTCATCCAAACATCCAACACAGCCGAGCTCTTCGCCATCGCCCAAAACCACCCCAATCAGCAGGGGGTCACCCCGTCCCCCACACCCCACCCTGGCACCAGCTGATCAGCCCCGCAGCCGCCCAGAGCAGGCGAGACCATCCCCCTCGATCCATCACCATCCTCACCACGTGCCAGCAGCCCTTCCCGGGATTTCAGGTTCGAGATATCATTTAGGGCCTGCTCCATCCCTAAATCTCCTCCCGGGGAGGGCAAGCAGCTTCCCACCCCATCCTGCTCCTATGGCTACCAGTAGCAGCATCACCTGAGCCAGACCCCGCAACCTCCTTCCATCCTCCTCCTCCTCTCTGCACCAAACCCCGGCCACTCCGGCACACGCTGGTGGCAGAGCCCTTGCACGCTCCGTGCTCCTGGCACATGGGACTCATCCCTTCCTCTGCACCTGCCCCCTGCAACACTGCTCCCCTGGCATCGTCCCACGAGGGACACTGCAGTCCTGGCCATCCCCGTTCCCCCGCTGCCGGCACAAACACCCCAAAACCAGCCAGCCAAGCCCTGGGAAAGACCAGCCTTCCCGGGACGGGGGTCACAGCCCCCCCAACGCCAGCACCGCGGTCACATCCACCAGCACCCCAAATCAGCCGCCCTGGGGCAGGGAGAGGAGGGGGCGACGCCGGTGCCCCCACCCCGGCTTACCTGTGGCCGCGGCGTCAGGCCCCGGCGGGCGTGGGCTGGAGCATCCACAGAGAGTTCAGAAGGTAAAGATCAGAAACAGACTTTGGTAAGTAACCACACGTTTAGAAAGGAATATATCAGTTTGGAAACATCTCAGTGCATACTTCTTATATGAAAATATACACAATTGTATTTCATTCTCCAAAAAAGGAACAATTAAAAACAAAAGCAAACTAGCCCAAACACAATATATTAGCTGTTTTTTTTGTTGGTTTTTTCTTTTTTTCTTGTTGTTGTCATCCTTTAAAATCTTTAACGCTACACTTTGTTCAGGTTACACTTTTTTTGTCTTTTTTTTTTTTTGTAAATGTTTTTTTTCTTCATGCATTTTACACCTTTATAGCCTTTGAGAATAAATAAGCTCCATTTTGCTTCCACATCTCTAAAAACTGCAGCATTTTAACTATTGTCATTTAAATCGTGCAATTTTTTTTTGCAACACCCCTTTTTAAAAAATGGAAAATATATATATATTTTAAAACTAAACCCTATACAACGCAAAAATTCCAAATTAAAAAAAAAATTATACACAATTGTAACTGTCAACAGTACAGATGAGCACAAGAAATAAAATTAGATCAGAAACATATTTATAGAAGCACAAAGGAGGGTGTTGGTTTCTTAGATTGTCATTCTTCTCGTTGTCTTTTGAAAATTAGGAGGAGTTTACCGGATACTACAGTCTGGGGGGAAATAAAGGATAATGACCCGGACAAAAAAAAAATAGAATATAATAATAAAATAACCCTAAGCCCCCAACAAAATGAAGACCCCGACAAACAGCCCCCAAACCCCTTTCACCACAACGTGAAGCCGTGTCTGACCGGGGGCAGCCCCACCTTCCCACGAGCCATACTTGCCCGTGGCACCAGCCCAGGGGATCGTGGAGTTCTGCTGCCGCGCTGCTGCGGATCCGTCCGGCACGGCACAGCCCGGCGCTGAACCGCCGGCGCCTTCCCCGCCAGGCACATCTAAACCTGCATCTACGGAACCCAGAGCGTTTGTGTCTTGGATTTCGTGGTTCTCCAGGCTCTCAGCTTCCAGGCAGAAGTGTGAACTTGGGAGTCAGGGCGTGAAGTCCATGAGCAAAAATGTTTTTTTGGTTTTTTTCCCCGCTCAGGGTTTGCTCTGCACCGGTGGCGTCAAGTGCCAGGGGGGTCTCGCCGCCGCCTCCCCGCTGGGGTCTCTGGAGAAAACTGCTCTGCTGGGCCCTCCTGCCGTGTCGCTCCCAGCGGGGCAGACCTCGGTGAGTTGGGTCGAGTTTCTTTTTTGTGAAGGAAAAAAAAATTGAAATACAAAACAAGAGCGATGAGACGTCGTTATCCCGCCTAATTTCCAAAGCAAAGGCCGTGCAAAGAGCTCAGGTGCGCGTCCGGTACATCGGGCATCGCCGGGTCGGGGGTCACAGCGTGGGCGAGGAGGACCATGGTCCGCAGTGTCTCTCCCACTTCTCAACGGACAGACGGAGATGGAGGGAGGGAGATTCGCTTCTGCCGCCGATGCCGCGCCGGCATTCCGGAGGTGAGAGCCGAGCATGTCCCTGGCACACAGCGGTACCCGCTGGGTTCGTCTTGGGGAGGGGAGACGGGGGGGTTAACTGCACAAAGCCTGCCAGGAGCCCTCCCTGGCACCATGGGGCTTTACCCTTGTTTGCCCAAGGCCCTCCAGAGCACAGGAACAGGAGAGGGAACTCCAAATTTATCATTGGAAAGGAATCAAACCATTATTTGGAAAAGTCTTTGTGGCAGGAATTTGATATGACAAGATTTTGATGGGGCAATTTTATCCCACACATCGCTCCATGCCTCGTTCTGCAGGCAGGGGATGCCACTATCTGGAACCCTGGCACTGCCAAGCATCTGCCATCCTGGACCCCTCCCCAGGTCCCCACAGCCAAACCAATGGATCCTTGGGAGAGGAGGGAAGGTCAGGGCAGGTATCAGCTCAGGAGGGATGTGTGGGTAACCCCTCTGCAAGGATTTTTGGAGGATTTCCTCTCCTCCCCCAACCCCTCCCTTTAGGTCACCCCTGTTCATTTCACAGTAATCATCAATTTTTTTTGTCTCGTTTTTCCAAATTAGAAACTTTGGGATAAATGCTTGGTTGGGAAACGTTTATAAAAAACCATACATTTTCTTCTGGTTTGCCCTCATCCTGGGACATTTTTATGCCATCCACCTCATTCCAAGGCTCAGCTGGTGCTGACACCTGGCAGAGGGATCCATGAGGAGGATAAATCCCCCTGTGACTCTGCTCCTCTCCCTCTGCTCCAACTCGGGGGAAGCTGACCCCAAAGCAGCTCCCGGCTCCTCTGCAGCCCCCCCAGCCTGGCCAGGCTCCAGCTGCTGAAGGAGTTGGCAAAGGTGGCATCCAGGCAGGTTTTGTGCCAGTTTGTGACCGTGAGCCCAGGGGTGAGTGGGGCTGGGGTGTCCCTGCACAGGGTGACAAGGCAGGTTGGGAGGGAGATGGGGAATCAGCATCCCAGAGGAGAGCGCCTGCAGGGAGAAAGCTCTCCCTAACACCTACACGGGTCGGGAACAGACCCTTCTGCTCCAAATCCTCCACCCCTGAGCTGGCTGCTGCATTTTGGGATCAGAGTGCTGACACCTTTCCCCGGGAAACTGCCAGAGCAAGTGGCAAGACAAGGAAATTCCTTCTTTTTCCTTTTTCCTTCCACTAAATCACTGCATCGAGACTTGAGCAGATTTTCCACACAGCTCACTCTTACCTTTTGAGGCCCAGAAACCTTCAGGCAGAATCCCAAAGGATCATTATTTCAGTTGCATCCTTCAATAAAAAAATAATTTCTTCTCATTTTCCTGATTTAAAGCTTTGGCCCATGTGGAATGGGAATGCATTTTTAAAATGCTTTTACGGATGTCGTTTGATAAAACCCACTATTTTCTTTGAAAAGCAGCACTAATACATCCTCCCTCTGCAAACCCACTGCACCCAGGCAGAGGCAAAGCTTTCCTGGGAAAGAGGAACTCCAGTGTTTCAGTGACCCTGGTCAGAGATGGTAGAGTTCCCTGCTCTGCTAGGAAGGATGAAAGGATGCTGTCTGCATCCACTTGTCATGCAAACTGCAAACGGGATTAAGACTTAAAAATCTGCCTCTTACTCCCTGGATTAAGCTTTCCAATATCCAGGAGGCCCAAGCAGGCTGTGGATGCAGCTGTATCCTGTTTCATACCAAAGCCCCCTCAGCCTCCTTTTCCAGCTGGTTTGGGAAAACTGGTGTAGGAAAACCCTTTTTGAGGAAAACTGGTGTCTGCCAAAGCCCTTCAAGCTTTCGGAGAGCTGGATCGTGTCCAAACTGCCCCTTCCTGCACATGGACCCAGGAGTGCCCGGGCACGGTGTGAAGGTGCATTTTGGGGGTGCTCTGTGCCCTGTCTCCCCCCGGAGCCCGTCCTGCTGCAGGCGCTCTTCCCAAGGGATACGGTCCCACTTCCCGGGGAGGGGTCTCGCCAGCCAGTGGGCACCGACTGCCCGGCCCGCCCGCCCGCGGGGGAGCATCGCCAGAGGCTGCTGTTTTTGGCAAGCACGCAGAAATTCCATTCCCGTGCCCCGTTCCCACACCCTTGGCTGTTCCCGAGCCCGCGGCCCCGGCCAAGGAGAGCCGTATGTACTGCGTGCGTCGCCTGCTGCGCTAGAATGAATGCCTACAAAAATCCTAAAGCTATTTCTCAGGCAGTTTATGATAATTTTCCCCCCACCCCAGCCCATCCCCATCACCCGTTTCGCCCCCCCGCCCCTCCCGCCCCCTTCCCGCGGCCCCACCGGAGCTCCCAGGGATGGCGGGGACGCGTTATGTGACCCAGGTATCCAACCGCATGCGCTTTACGGAGGGGCTCTCCCCCTCGGGCTCGCTGCTGGGCCGCAGGAGGCCCAGGGACGAGCTGAAATCGGGGCGGGCGGGATCGTCCCGCTCGCTGCTGCCCTCGTAGGAGCTGGTGTTGCTGCTGAGGCTGTCGACGGGCGAGCGGCCGGTGGGCTCGTGCCGGGGCTGGTGGGGGAAGGTGCTGAGCGGGGTGGCAGTGTTCCTCTCCCGGTTGGGCGAGACGGGCTCCGACTTGATGCTGATGTTGGGGTTGGTGTTGACAGTCAAAGTGGTGGTGTGGGACAAGTGACTCCCTTGTCTGGGCATCCAGAAGGCAGGGGAAGAGGTTGGGAAAGGAGGAGGAGGAGAAGGAGGAGAGCAGGAGGGGAGGGAGGGGGAGAAACAGATGAAAAAAGAGATAATGGGAAATTTCTCATTATTATCTTTTTCACAGCCTTTTACCCTCCGATACACAGAATCCAAAACCTGCACATTCCACAGCCAAATGAACACAGGATTATGAACCTGGATTAGATTACTAATCTGGATTCAAAATTAGAATTATGAATCACTACGACTCCAGAACACACGAGCTGTGCGCTCACCAGGACACATCACTGCCAACCTGGGACCTGCAGAACCCCACGAGCAGCACCTATTCTCCCCCAGCACCCTGTGATCCAGCTCCAATCCTACCCACCGTCCCAAAGCAGCAGGAGGAGAAGGACAGGGTGTGACATCCCTGTCCCATGGGTATCCATACAGCTCTGCCCCAGCATCCCCGTGGGCTGCACAGACATGGTGGAGGGTTTTGCTCCAAACTGGGAACCTCTTTGCTACAACCCAAAATTTCATTCAGACTTTCCATACTGGTGCAAGAGGTCTGGGTGGCTGCTGGGAAAGCTGCTGACTGCCCTGCCTGGAAAATGTGCTCCAGGCAGTGAGGAAATGAACTGAACTCCCTGCACAAAAGCCTAGTCAGTCCACCCCTCCCTCCTGCCGTCTATCCGTCCATTCCTCCATCCATTCACCTGGCACTTCGTGCTGGGCATATCAGAGTTTTTGATTCAGTGACTGGGGCAAAGTCACAGATTTCCCCTCTTCGATTCCTGCCTCTTTCTGTCCCACAGTTTCAGTGTCATCTCAGGCAAGTTGCTTAAATCTTTATTTTGACCAAGTAACTTGGTGTGTGGATGCTTTATTTCAGACTAAAAGGAGATCCACTTCAGAAAACCTGCTCCAATATGTAAGTGCTTGTGTTTTCTTCCCTGGAGGAAAGCAATCTATTTGCAATACTAAAAGCCACCTTCTTCCTACACCAGCAGGGCACAATTCCAGACACCTTATCCTGCAACTTCTGTTACATCTAATGCTGACTCTGGCTGTATCTCTGGCCCCCCCAGTTGAGAGCAGGGAGCAATCCTGCTGTGGACAGACAGCAGGATGCAGCTCTTGGAGCATCCCCGAGCATGCCACTGCTCTGATCTCAGCTGGGGACTCTGGGTCACTCCTATGACAGAGGCAGGGACAGGACTCCCCAGACTTCCTGAGCTGGCTGGGCTGGCTCCTCTTGCAGCTGCTCCTGCCCCCCAGAAACACAGCGTGGACCCACCAGGGCCCAGCAGGGAGGAGTCACAGCTGGAGTTCTGCAGGTTTGGCACCTCTGAGGAATTCCCCATTTCTCTCTGAGTGGCCCTGGTACCTGTTCCACTTACATTAAGTTTCCTAGTGACACAGGGACCAGGTGCTGCTGCTGCGGCTGCTGCTGTGGCTGCTGCTGTTGTTGCTGCTGTTGCTGCTGTTGTTGCTGTTGCTGCTGCTGCTGCTGCTGTTGTTGCTGCTGCTGCTGCTGCTGCTGTTGCTGCTGCTGCTGCTGCTGCCAGGCAGAGATGTTGCCAAGGGACAGGCCTCCAGGTGAGCTGAATGCTGGCAGCGAGGACAGCTCAGCGCTCGTCAGCTGATAATCTGGAAGAGAAGGAGCCCTTCAGTCATTTCAATGTCAAACCTGCTCCCACAGCACCCTGAGTGCTGTGAGAAGATGGAGACCTGCAAGAGACACAAACACGCAACGTACGGAATATCGTCTTGTGCTGCAAGTGGTACAGGGATGATAGCTAGAGGACACAGTTCTTGGAACCATGGAATGATTTGGGCTGGAATCACAGAATCATGGAGGTTGGAAAAGACCTCTGAGATCATCAAGTCCAATCTATGACCAAACAACACCATGGCAACTAGACCACAGCATTATGTGCCGTGGAAGGCACCTTTTAAAGGTCATCTAGTCCAACCTCCAGGGTCACCTTCCACTATCCCAGGTTGCTCCAAGCCTCATGCAACCCAGATTTGAACACTTCCAGGCATGGGGCAGCCACAGCTTCTCTGGGCAACCTGTGCCAGTGCCTCAGTACCCTCAGCATAAACCATTTCCTCCTTATATCCAGTTGCCTTCTGGCCTCAAGGCTGGCAGGACCCTCCACACCCCAAACACCCACCGGTGCCGTTATCCCCCAGGCACAGCGGTGGCAAGGGCAGTCCCATGGTGCAGCTGCATCCAGCTCCCCCCAGGAAGGACTGTGGGCATGTGAGACACCCCACAGCCACCCTCCAGCTGGGTATATAGAGCACAGACACACATGTCCTCCCCTCCCTGGGCAGCAAACCTCCAACAGCTGGTGAGACCTACCCATACCTGGAGCACCCCACCCGTACCTGGGGCACCTTCACCCACAGCTGGGGCATCCTCACCTGTACCTGGGGCATCCCCACCTGTGCCTGAGGCACCTTCACCCATACCTGGGGCATCCCCACCTGTACCTGGGGCATCCCCACCTGTGCCTGAGGCACCTTCACCCATACTTGGGGCATCCTCACCTGTACCTGGGGCATCCCCACCTGTGTCTGAGGCACCATCACCCATACCTGGGTCACCCCCCCGTGTGACAGCAGGGGGCGCTCCCCACCCGCCATGGGGACATTCAGCAGCCACCGTGTCCCTCCCCACGGACACCTCACATCCCGGTACCCCCCCACACTTGCAGGACGATGCCCTTCCCCTATAGGACCTCGGGAGCATCCCAAATCCCCGTGGAGCACCTCCATACCAAGGGGAGATTTTACAAGGGGTGGGAATGACGATGGAGAAAACTGGGGGGAAAGTGCTGCTGCTCCTGGAGATGTTCAAACCTTGGTCGGCCACGCCAACACCTGACACAGACACTACGGACCCACAGGTCAATCGAACCTTCCCCGTGCCCTCTCCCTCCCCCTTTCTCTAATTTTGGGTGTCTCGTGGTTTCAGCTGTCCCCGCCCCAGCAGCACACACAGAGGTGGCTGTGCCGGTGCTGAACCGCTGCCAACGCCGCCGGCGGATCCCCGGCACACCCCACCCAACGTCCTTCACCTCCCACACCAGCCGTTCTGGTTTGGGAGCTCCAGACACCCACTGGTTACAGTGGCCGCCCCCACAGCCCCCACCAGGGCTGGAGCTGGAGCCTCCCTGGATCACAGAGCTGGGAATGATTGGGCTTGACTGAATCCAGCTGCGGAGCCGGCATGGGAAAGGGCACGTAACCCTGGCCAGGCAGCTTGGCACAACTGCACCCACTTGAAATCCAGACAATTCCCACTTAATTAACAGGTGAGTCCTGGAAAGAACAAGTGGCAACGCCCCAGGCTGGGAGTTTGCTCAGGGTATTTGCATCCCACAGTGACCCACAAGATGATTATCCTGGCAGCATCACAGAATCATGGAATTATCTAGGTTGGAAAAGCTATCCAAGACCATCAAGTCCAGCCATTCCCCCAGTACTGCCAAGGCCACCACTAACCCATGTCCCCAAGTGCCACATCCACACATATGTTAAATCCCTCCAGGCATGGTGACACCACCACTGCCCTGGGCAGCCTGTTCCAATGCCTGATCACCTCTACCATGATGAAATTTTCCCTAATATCCAACCCAAACCTTCTCTGGTACAACTTGAGGCCATTTCCTCTTGTCCTGTCACTTTTCACCTGGGCGAAGAGCCCGAACCCCACCTGGCTCCATCCTCCTGTCAGGGAGTTGTAGAGAGTGAGGGAGTCCCTCTGAGCCTCCTTTTCTCCAGGCTGAGCTCCCCCAGCTCCCTCAGCCGCTTCTTGTGCTCAAGATCCTTCACAAATCAAGATAATTCCCACTTAATTAACAGGGCAGCCCTCGTAAAACAAGTGGCAACAGCCCAGGCTTGCAGTTTGCACCCCATAGCGATGCCCCCCACGCTCACTCCCACAGCAAACCCCGTGGCACAGACACCACTGGTGCTCGGGCAGGAACACGGCTCTGCCCGTGGTCAGCTCTGAGAGAAAATAACTACAGAGAGTTGAAATTCAGCCCCTCCACCCTGAGCAGCAGCACAGGGCTCAATTAAAACCTATTTTGGGGACTCTGGCTGTGCCCAGCCTGGCTGCCACGCGGGGAGAGGAGCCTCATCACGCACAACCAGCATCTTCAGGGCTACACCTACTAATTTAGGAGAAGGAGTTCCCAACACGCCTGTTCTGGGTTCTTCCAGACAAGCAGCTTTTTACATTTTTGTAAACTTTCCTCTGAGCTCAGAGCAAGTTACACAGGCAACCAGCAAGTCCTCAAAGTTTTCACGGAGGTCTGACAGGTGGCAGATGAACAACCCCTTTGCTTGGGCAACTGTGTTGTCACCGTCGCCTGGGGCTGGCTTGAACCCCGCCAGCCTGAATCAGATGTGCCTACGAGCAGGCTGGTTTGCATTCTTCCCAAACTTTTGGGGGCCTACGCTCATTGTCATTAAGCCCCTATTACAGCATCCCCCAAGCTCTGGAGAGCCCGGGGATGGGTGCAGCTGTAATTAGCATCCACTTGCACAGTTTGATGGGCTACAGTGGGGCAGGATCAGCCCTCACAGCCCTTCTGGCTACGACAGCATTTATATAATGACTTTCCCCTTGATTTTAATCCTGTGGAACCTTTGGACTCAACCATGTCTTGCAGCAGCAAGTTCCATGAGCGACGATGCAGCTGCTTGGAGAGCACAGGCACATCCCTGCAACAGCACATCTCCCTCTCCTGTTAATTCACTCAGCGGAGAGCTCAGACCTGGCCACTGCTCTTACCTGTGTTGTACGCTGTGGGCATGGCAGAGAAGGGCAGCCCCTGTGTCAGCAAACTCGGAGTCGCCACGGAAACAACCGGTGTGGTCAGAGAGTGAGTTGCTTGGGAGACACCCAACCTCTGCGTGTTCTGCTGTGGGAGCAAACAGGGAGGGAATTAAAACCCAGACGGTTGGACTCTGTCGTCTTTGTGGGTTGTGGCCCCTCAAGACCCCCTGGGCATGCACTGGGGTTGAGCACAGAGACTGTGGGATAAGCAGGATTGATCCTCTGGCCATTCCACACTGCAACAAAGCAAAGTGCAAACCACAGCAGCTACTGCCACTCTGGACCTTGTGACACTCATCTGCAGGTCACTTGGCCTTAGGTCCCCTTCCTGCCCAGGGTTGGGCTTCACTCACCAGGACCAGCCATGTCCCTCTGTGCATGGGGGGCAAATATCAGCAGGATGCTTTAGACTATTCCTCACTGCTTTCCAGAGGTTGTGTGTGAGGTTTGCTGGGCTACCAAGGAGTGACAAAGGGACCACCAGGACCAGCCAAGGCAGCACAAAGCTGACACATCCTCTTCCCTTCAGCTTCAGTGGCCAAGATCTGCCTCAAGGGAAGCTGAGGACGCTGAGCATTGGCCTCAGGATTTTAAAGGGACTCTGTGGTATCCCTAAACTTGAAGTCCAGTGCTCAGCAACCTGCCAGCTCGGTGCCCTCATGAGGTTTGTGTGACTCAGGTGTTAGCAGGTCCACTGTGGAAAAATTCTGCCCTTGGACCAGTGCACGCCAGCCTCCCCCTGTGGTTTTCCAGGCAGTTACGTGGGCGGATCTACAGGTCAGATTCAGCCCTGTTTACAAGGCAGATAATCTGGACTGTCTCTGCTGATCTGATTTAAATCAGACTCAAGAGGCTTGCCTCTAATCCGAAGCACCCCAGCACACGTCACCCTGTGAAGACTGGGGCAGTGCCCAGCTTAAATCATGCCTGGCACGAGGCTGGCTGCACCCTCAGCACACAGCGAGGAGCCTTCCTCCCACACTGAGGGCTTCCAGGGCCTTGGAGGGCTGGGCATGGACCATGCAATGCTTCATGGCCATGGGGACTCTCCCAGGATAAGGCTGGAGGCTCAACCCCTGCCCTGGCTACCTCCAAGAGGGTGACAGCACCTGGCTGTGCTGGATTTGCACACCCTACGCCCACATGGTGCCCAGCCCGCAGGTCCCTCCCACCGCCCGCCCAGGGAAGGCGATTACCAGGACTCTAATTGCTAAAGCCCTGGGCTCTAGAAGCGGGTTTTCCTGGCACGCATCCTGCTGGCAGCCACCCTCGGCCATGCCCACTGCCATGGGTTAAGGACACGGCAAGAAATGCCTCCACAGAGAGCAGGACCCATCCCCATCCCTCTCCTGCGTGTACTGGACCCCGAGCCAGCTCAGCAGGATGCAGCCCACAGCCCACAGCCCCATTCCTTCTGCCCCTTGCTCTGGGGCTCTGCAGCTTTCCCAGGAGAGCAGAGGCACAGGGACAAGTGTGGCCACACTGGAGGGCTGGGCTGCTGGGACACGGGCTGGGCCAGGCATATCAGCCCTGGGAATCACAAGGCGAGTGCAGGGATGTCATCCTGACTTTCACCCCAATCCATGCAGAGAGGAGGTGTGCAAGCTGCCCCCCACCCCGGGTCACTCACACTCCATGCCCGCACACAATGCTCCAGTTGCAAACTGCCATTCCAGCTGGCACCAAACCATGCACATGCTCCCGGGGAGCCCATGCGTTGCTGTGAGCTCCACGAATGGCTCCTGCTACCCCTGCCATGTTAGAAGTGTGGAGACAAATGGGGGGATGCCTCTCTGAACCCTCTAAAGGAGCAGAGCGTGCTCAGAGCCCAAAGCTGCAGGAGCAGAGCCGGGGCTGGCAGGGCTGGGGCTGCCAGCAGAGGCTCTGGGCAGAGGGGCAGGACGCAGCAGAGTGGCTGCTGACTCGTCCTGCTGCTGCCTGGAAAGAGGTGGGAGCTGCCATTTGGAGAGAGGATCTGGTGTGTAAGTTGAGCAATATGGAGGGAGCAAATCTAGGGAGAAGGTTAATGGAGCAGGGGGGCATCTGTACCGGACAGGAGGGGTGAGCAGGGACAATGCTCCGCATTCCCTTTCCAGCTGTGCCAAAGTCCCTGTCCCCCGCTCACCGTATTTCATCACCCTCCACCTCCCTTCTGCCACCTCAGCTGCAGAGAGGATGTTCTTCACTTCCCGGAGCCTGGAAACGCCTTGGGCAGTGGGAATGGGGATGAGCAGACCAGGAGGAGGGGAGTGACTGCTCTCTCTCTGCACATGGGGAAACTGAGGCAGGGAGCTGCTGGGAGGGGGCCACTAAGCAAGAAGGGTTTGGGGGCACAAAGAGCAAAAGAATCCACGTCTGCCAAAGCCCTGGCCCATCCCTGCCCCGGCCAAGAGTGTCTCCTTGCAGGCTGCCAGAGGGACTGGCTTACTCCTGTGTTTTGGAGAGCTTTTCCCTGGCTGTGATCTGCATCCCGCAGCAGCTCTTGCCCTTCCCTCGCTGCGCTGACCTGTCGCCCATCTGCCCTGCACCAGAATAGCAACGGAGCACAGTGAATCATTGCCACAAACAAGGTGGCATTCACTTTGCTGGCAGGAAGAGGAAAAAAAAGCCATAAAAATAACACGGAAAACTGCCCCGTGCACAAGGGAGGTTTAGGGACTGCACTAGCCAGCCCATGGATTTACACAGGCTTTAAATAATATCCTTAATATGGGAAGAGCCTGATTTACTCCCTGTCTCTCATGTGCTGGCAATGGACCAGGTCTTCCCGTGCTGTAACTGTGGTGGCTCCAGCAAAGCCCACGGGGCAGGTCCAGGCCAGTGGCGGTGCCCAGCTTGGCTCTACAGCCCCCAAAGGGACCCTGGCTCACCTCCCTGGGGTGACCAGCACAACTCTTTTGGCCTTGGTAGAGAAACAGGCACTTTACAGCTCATGTCAGCTCCTTCTTTTCCATAGGGTACTCGATTTTCCTATAAGTGCATTTTTCCTGGGGTTGATTTTCTGAGGCAGGACTGGCTGTGTGTTTGGTGCCCACATCCCATCACATTCCCAATGGAGGGCAAAGGAGCCAGTGTCCACCCCCTCCGCATGCTCCACGCCTCTGTCAAGCCAGGGCAGGGTGTGGGGACCAAGGGGGACAAGTGGCCCACGTCCCACCCTGCCACCATGCACACTCAGAGGGAACTCACCAGAGCCAAGTGGTCCTCGGTCTGCCCACGGGAGAACAGGGAGAGAACCGAGAGGCACCGTTAACTCGAGCGCCCCGTCCCCGCCGCACCCCGCGCTCGCCGGCACCACAATGGGAATCCAAACCTTCCTCCTCAGATCTCCCTGCCGGCACAGCCCCAGCCAGCTTCCACTACTGCTGCATGGAACAGGCGCCTGCCCTGCATCTGCTCCAGCACCAAGTCCCCTGCGGCCTGTCCGCTGCCCGGGGACCCGCTCCCACCCCAGCTGGTGTCCCGACAGACCCACGGGCACTCACCAGGTGGTGCATCAGCCCCTTCCCGCTCTGCGAGGTGATCACACGCAGGTCTGGCTTGCGGCTGTTGGCGGCGAGCTGCGTCCCATGCGAGGGTGGTGGTGGGGACTTGGCTGGGATGATCTTGCCCAGGCTGCTGCCATTGGACACAGGAAGGAGACTCGGCGAGGCTCTGGCACTCACATAGCCATTTCCTGCGAGAAAATGGGTGATAGAGATGAAAGAGGTAAGTTGATGGTGTGATGGCGAATGCACGGCAGTGAAAGCATGGCAATGGCAAATGCGTGGTGGTGAACAGGTACAAATTGAGAGAAGGGACATTTAGGCTGGATATTAGGATGAAACTCTTTGCTGTTAGGGTGGTGAGATACTGGAACAGGTTGCCCAGGGAGGTTGTGGATGCCCCAACCCTGGCAGTGTTCAAGGCCAGACTGGAGCGACCTAGTCTGGTGGGAGGTGTCCCTGCCCACGATAGGGGGTTGGAACTAGATGATCTTTAAGGTCCCTTCTAACCCAAATCATTCCATGATTCTGTGATTCTACAAATGCATGGTAGTGGTGAATGCATGGTGGTAAATACATGGTGATGGTGAATGCACATGCACAGCAAGCAGTGCCACAGCAGGGCTCCATGGATACTCCTCCCAGGGAGAGCAGCACCTCATCCCCCCAGGCTCCCCAACACCCTCCTGCACCCAGGCAGGCTTACCCTGCAGGGTGAGGGCAGGGCAGGCAGTGGCCCCGAGTCCCCAGTGCCCAGGGCAGCTCCTCAACCTGCAGGAACTCCCTTTTGTTCCTGCAGTAACACCTGGTACATCTCAGAGGCCTGATCAGAGGCTCTTTACATGCTCTGGCCGGGCACCACGGCTCTGCCATGGCAGGTAATTACTGGCACATTCACTTGTAAGGTCTCCTTATGGTACCAGAGCAGCAAAAAGGGGCTATGGCCAAGTGAGGACTCAGTTCACTGCTCCCACTGCCCCTTTGAAGATCTGAGGTTCCTTCCTCCTCCTCCTCCTCCTGATGCCCCACTTAAGGATTTTATGTGCAAAGAGGGGAAAAAAAAAGAAGAAAGGAAAGGAAGAAAAAAATTAAAAAGGAAAAGATTTGATGAACATCAGGAAAGGAATAAATTGGATCAGATTACTGTTCTGATGAGGGTTGTTTTTTTTTCTCTGAATAGGCCCCAAAGATAGAAAGGCGTTCAGCAATCACCAGGATTCAGCCCTCATATTCATTGCACGTTAGACCGGGAAAAATAGGTCGCTGATTGCATTATTAATCACATCTACCATTGCGCTGCATCTGCATTTCAGCAGGCGGCTGTGGCAGTGACGCCGCAGCCGCGGCGCGCGGGGGCCGAGTGCCAGCCACTGCCTCTCAGAGCTGTCCCGGGGCTGAACGCAGCGGTGATGGGGTGAACCAGGCCCCCCCCAGCACAGGGGATGGCCACGCTCCTGGGAGCCATGGGTCTGATCCCACCGATGCTGCCAGGGATGGGAGGTGCTGCCCCACCAGGCACCTGGGACCTGCCATCAGGGATGCCCATGGTGGCCAGGCTGCTGCAGGCTGGCAACTCCGGTACCCATGTCCCTGATGGAGGGAGAGGACCAACTTTCCTGTCCCCAGTGAGGCGTCCTCCAGGCCTGAATCACCGTGAACAGCCCTGCAAAAGGCATGTGCCTGGTGCATCAGGTCCCGGTACCGTGAGCTGTCGGCGTCCTGCTCACAAGACCACTGGCTTTTAGATTTATTAACAACAAAGGTGCTGAAATTCCCCAGGTGACCTTTGCTACCCACAGTGCCAGTGGCCATGGATAAGCCAAAAGAAATGTTAAACCCCTTGATATTCTCCTGCCCAAGGTGGCACCGACATGGGTACACACGTGGCTCTCATGGTGACTCCCTGTTTGAGGCATGGCACGTTATCGTGTGCGTCACCTGGGGTGTGGATCGGAGTGGCCCCTGTGCTGGAGGGGAGCTGGTTTGGGTTCCAGTGCTGCCACTCACCCCCAAAGGCGGGTGGCCTCGAGCATTGTCATCACTGTCTCCACCCAGCCTGGACCCAGCCACCCCAGTGAGCCAGAGAGAGAAGGGCTGTGCTCCTGCCTGGATTTCCCAGCAAAGGCCCCACCCCCAAAAAAGGGGTCTAAAAGTGAAGCACTCTGGGCTGCCTTTGCACCACCCCAGTGTGAATCTGAGCAGAACTGGGGACAGCCAGGGCTCAGCAATTCCCTTCTCGGGGCAGGCAGGTAGGCCGGGTGCAGCATCCCGAGGGTGGCACACGCTGTGGTGCACGGGCAGGGATACAGCCGGGATACAGCCGGCATTGCTGCAGGATCCGGCCAGAGGCACCCGCAGCTGATGACTCAGAGGCAGCAGGTGATCACTCAGTGCTGCAGAGACTGCAAGGGAGGAGGAGGAGGAGGAGGAGAAGAAGGAGGAGGAAGAGATGTCCCAGGTATCTGAAAACCGCAAGCGCAGTGCCAGAGCCAGAGCCAGAGCCACGCTCCCCTCCCGCTGCCGTGCGGGGAGCCCCGGGGCGGGCGGGGGGCCGGGGACAGCGGGGGTCCGGGGCTGGCCCCGGCCGGGCTGTCCCTGCTCCTCACGCCCGTTTCCTGCAGTGGCGGCAGGAACGCGGGGAATGCTCCGGTGACGTCAATGGTGACATTCACGGGCCCTGCCAAGCTCCGACCGCCACGGCTGCTCCCGACAGCTGACGTGGGGGCGGCGGGGGGACAGGGGCCGCCAAGGTGCCTGGTGGCCGGGGCACGACGGCCCCTTCCCTCTGCCCTCGAGGAGCAGCAAAGCTTCGTGTTGGGCACTGCGAGGTCCCGGGGAGATGCAGCCTCCCAAACAGCCCTGGCAGGGTTTGCTCTGGAGGCGCAGCTGGGAAGAAATCCCGCTGGCACTGGCATGGCTGCTGCCCAGCACAGGGAAAAGACTATTCCCAGGAGGGGCTGTGGTGCAGGGCACAGGGACAGGCGGCCACAGTGCTGCCGAACCGCAGCTGGACCAGCCCCATCCACACAACCGGCGGGACCCGGCTCCAATGTGGTTTTAATTGGGGCAATGTGGAATTTCACACTCCTACTCCGTGCTGTCAGCTGGAGCCCTGCTGCAAAAAGGCCTGGAGGGGGTGAGAAGCCATGCTCCTGGAGCAAGGCTGCCTTCGCCCTGGGACGGATGGCATCCACCCTGTCAAGCCCAAGCCCACGGCCTGCAGCAGCTTCCCAGCAGGACCTGGGGCCATCACTGGTTTTTGTGCTGTGCCCATACCAGCGCTGGGCTGACATCCTCAGCCTGCAGACGGCGGAGGCAGACGTGGGGATGGAGATGTTGTCAGTGCATTTTACAGCCAGGGAGCTGAGCCACAAGGCCTGAGCCTTGTTAGCATTGAGGCTCTCGCAGTGGAAAGGCACCTTAATGAGCTTTTTTCCTTGCAGTAAAGTTGCTTTACAGGGCCCAAACACGAGGAGGAACTGAGTGTTAATTGATCACCTGAGGTCGGGGGGGGAACTGGCTGCAGCATGAGGAGCTAAACCCAGTGCTGCCCAAATCCTGGTCCTCAGGGATCACTTCTCTGATCTTCAGCAACCCCAGAGACCCAGGGGAGATGGACACACCTCAGTCTCTGGGGTCTTCACTGAAACCAGCAGTCCCCACAAAGGCTGGAGCTCCACATGCCAACTTCTCCCACTGCCAATGGCAGCAAAATTTTCCCCAGCGCTTCCCGCTGAATAGCAAAGCAAAATCCTATCGGACACATGGGGAGACCATGGGCAGGAGTGGCACACGGAGCCCTGGGCACAGGGCTGAAAGGCTCCTCACTTACCCACAGGGCTCGGGCAGGCTCCATTTGTGTTGTTCAGGTCTCCCCCAAGCATCGCCCCTGCAAAGCAACCAGAAACACAGGGTCACCATCCACACAGAAACAGGGTGAGCATCCCCATTTTGGGGAGCAGGAAGTGGGGGAGGAGCACAGTGGAGGAAAGCAGAGGAATATAAGTGGGGTTGTGGCGCCAGGGAGAAAGTCCTGGGTGAAATGAGCAGCATTCCTGGTGATCAGGTTGGGAAACATTATCCAGGCAGATCCGTTTCCTTTGGGAAGGAGCCAGGTGCACAGGAGCCTGCTCCAAAGGAGGCAGCTTGGAAAACACTGTGGCTATTTTATTCCGAGCCCCCCTTTGGGGGACACGGGGCCGGTGCTGCTGGGGAAGAGAGCCCCAGCAGCACGATGTGAAACACTATCCCCCCTGTAATGTTCATGCCGAATGGAAACCATCCCTGCACTGCCAGGACGCTGCTACGATCCGGCCTCCCACGGTCCCAACGCTTGGAAAGTGCTGCCACTCCCCACCAGGTCGGGAAAAAACAGACAGGGGGCTTTTACATTCCCCAAAAACTGAACATTTTGCCTCTCCTGTAAGAAGATTTGACTTTTTTCTGCCATGTTATGGAGTCACTTCTGAAAGCCACCTATTCCCCAGCTGGGGCTGCCTGGCTACGCCGCGGGCGGCGATTGTGGCCAACAGCCGGCGCGGAGGCTCTGAAGCTGCAACCGCAGTCATCCTGGAGCCCTGGGCTGGGGAACGAGGAGCCTCCGATCCCAAACCCCACCTCTAACCACCGCCCAGCCCTTCTCAGCCCAGATGGGGAAACCTGAGACAGAAACCTTTATTCAGCCCATGGCTCTCGGCTTCAGGCTTGCAGTGAGCCCCTGACACCGGGAGGAGGGCAGGAGGGCTGAGGCATTGCTGTGCAGGGTAGTACAGTTGCTCCCCACATGGGAGCAGGGTTGGGAACAGAAGTGGTCCCAAATATTGTACAGCTTGAGAAAGGGCAAAGTGACTCACAAAATGTGGCAGACATGGCACCACAGCATCCTCCCTTCAAGGAACGGGGCTGTAAAGCCATAGGTCCTGGTGCCTCTAAAGTCCTGGAGGAGGGAACCCACCAGGATTTTAGGGCTGTGCCCTGCTGTGGGACTCCACTTGCACCCCAGCCTCTGGTGCCCAGGCTGCTGAAGTGGGCTCACTCCCTTGGGTGAGTGATGCCAACCCTGCTCCCAGCCCTATACAACCCTTTGTCTGCCCTTCTCCCATCCCCGAGTCGATGGCACTGGGCAGTGCAAAGGCACCACCCAGCACTCGCTGCGCATTTGCTTTGGAAACAACACTCCTGGCTCCGGTGCAATGCTAAAAAAAAAATTTAAGAGAAAAAAGGGAGTTTTTCTAACATGCAACGCCCTGGCTCCCACAAGCAGGATTTCTTCTGTGTCCCAGGCAGCGAGTGAATGAGACACAGATGGCCGGACTTGGAACACCTCTGCATTCGCAACCACAAAATGATCCCCCTCAAACGAGCAGCGAGTGAGCTGGAAACGGCGAGCCCCCAGCGGGGTCTGTTTTACCAGGGAGCCTCTTCTGTTCTCAGCCGAGGGGCCTGTGAGAGGGCGGAGATCCCTGCAGCCAGAGCGCTGGCTGCCCGTGCCTGAGGAGGGTTCTGCTGCCCAGTGAGATGCTGCTCTGTGGGACCAGACTTAGAACGGAATGACCTCTGTCCTGCAAGTCTGGGGCTTCATCCTGATACTGATACCTGAGCACTTCAAGGCACCTCAAAGACCCCCTGAGGGGAGAGCAGTGAGCAAACAAGCCATCTCTGAACCACAGCTCCTACTGCATCCCAGCCAGGCAATTCGCTGTGCTCGCCCTGACCCACCACATAATGTGCTTCTGGAGGCACCTCCCAGCCCTTCTCCCCAAATCCACCCCCTTTGCAGAGCCTCCCCGAGCTCTCACAGCGCCGGGGGGCCAGAGCCAAGCACCCACTGCCCAGACGTCCAGGCAGTCACAGGCACCAGCTCTGCCATTTTGCAGCCCATGCAACTTTCACAGACCATCTGTGACACCCAAAATAGCAGGCAGGGGCTTTCTGCACGCTATTATTATTTATGATCGCACTGTGGGAGAGCTGGGCTGTGGTCACACGTCGTCCTTGTCCCCCCCCCGGCACTGCAGGGGACACGGGTGACAACTCCTCTCCCCCACCCCGCCCTCCGCCACCCATCGCCGGTCCCTGCTGGAAATGACGGCTCCTCCAATCTGTCAGCAGAGCCACATGAGTAATCACTGGGACCAACTGCAACCAGCCCGGCCCGACTCAGAACAGCCCTTTTTAGGCAGCAGTCCCATGTCACCGGAGTGCCACCGGCAAGCGGGATGCCAGCAGCCACCCCCAAGCCTGGGAATGGCGCTGGGTGACTCATCTTGTGCTGCCCAACCTTGAAACAGATCCCTGCAGGCATCCAGCTCTCAAAGAGATCTGGGTAAGGTGGGGGGGTTGCCCTCAGTTTGCGTCCAAGGCACAAACTGGGGGCATCGACCTCTGGCAGGAGGACAGGAGCACACGGCCAGGGGCAACAACACTTCCAGGCTGCTCCTGCCACCCACGGATGCTGGGACACAGACCCAGGGAGGCAGCAGGGGCGTCCCCTGCCACCCGGGATGCCCTGTGCTTGGTGCTGCATGCCCAGCCAGGCTCTGGGCAGGGAGGATGGGGAGGGGAGGGTGTGAAGGGTCACAGTGTGGCTCACCTGCGCTGGCTGGCCGCTGCGGCAGCCCCGGGGACACCGTGTTCCTCTGCAGTGCTGGCTGCTGCGGCGACAGGAGCCGGGGGTCTGTCAGCGACGAGGTCACCAGGGACTGGGTCACCAGTGAGCTGCCCGGGTTGCTGAACTGCAGTGTGTTTTGGTTGGTCACTGGCACCGTCACGGGCATGGCAAAGTTGGGAGCGGGCACTGCGGACTGAACAGAGAGTGGGGGGTAAAGGGCAGCCGGAGCCGAATTCCTGCAGCCCAGCAGCAGCAACACCTACTGCTGATCAAGGAGGGACAGCCAGGGTCCCCAAACCTCCATCTCACTGCTGGCCTGCGCTGCTGTGCTTGAACCCACACTGGCCCTTTCAGGGGGATGCACCAGAACCCAGACTTCACCAGGGAACACGGGAAGAGCAATGGGCTGTCCCCTCAGACACACCAGAGCTCTGCAACCTGCTGTTTTGGCCTCATTTTGAGACTATTTATTTACCCTCAGTGTGTTCAGGGCAGCCACGGAGGAGAAGTTGAGAACATCCCAGAGCATGAAGATGGGCAGCACCCCAGTGGTCTGCCCCACCAGCACCAACAGTGGCCGAGCTTGGCACTACCCTTCACCCCAAGAGTCGGCAGGGGTTTTATGAGGCCGTTCCTCATCCAGAGGGGTGGAAAGAGCCCTCCAAGGAGCCAACAGTGGATGTCAGTTTGGGCGGGCACTGGTGCTGGTGGCTGAGCACCTGGGAAAGACTCATTTTGCTCCACACAGCCCCCAGGTGACACTGTCATCTACCCTGGCTCCTCTGGGAGCTGCTGGGAAGGAGGAGCTGACCCCAGGGAAGCGGGAGCATCGCTAAAGCCCTATCCTTGGCTGCAGGTCGAGGACCAGCTTCACCTACCGGTGTCCCCGTGGGAGCCAGACCCGCTGCGATTATCCTGGCTGTCTGTCTTATGTCACTGATTTGCTCTTCGTTAACAGGAGCGGGCACCTGCTTAGAAGCTTTAGCAGAGGCTTTGCTAAAGTCCCACTTTAATTTGCTCAGGGATGGAGAGGCAGAGTAGCCCAGCGCTGGATGGGACCATGGCAGGACCAGACCCAGGACCCCAGAGGCTGCCCTGGTGAGGGCAGAGGGAGTTGAGAATCTCCCTACTACAGCTGGACGGAGGCTGCTGCCCTGTGGCCCCTTCCCCTCCAGAAATCTGCTCTTGGATGGGTGCTGCACCTTGGAGGTAGGGGGGAGGATGGGAGGAAGGAGTGGGATGGTGCTCACCCACGCCTCGCTGCCAGGAACCCTCCCCACCTGCCTCCAAGGGCACCCTGTCCTTCAGAGCTATCCCGCGGCCGCAGCCAAGCTGCGAGGACAGCGGCTCTGAGCCTGCGCTGCAGCACTGCTCCCGCTCACAGGGGCAGGGCTCAGCAATCCCCACACCGCTGGGGAGAGCCAGAACGTGGAGCCCTCCCTCTGCTCAGCCCCAGGACCTCATCCTGCACAGCAGCAGAACCAGAGGAGGAGGAGAAAGGTTTCTTGGGTGTCGCACGAACACCGGAGCAGCGTTGTGTAATAAATCACTGCCAACACGTCTGTGTGCGTGCACATTCCCAGCAAGGGAGAGGAAGATCTAAACCCCCTCTGCAACGCAGCATGAGTGATAGAGCCAGGAGGTGGATACCACCGGCCCGAGAGCCGAGGTTTGCCTTAACTCAGCTCTATCCCACTGCACCTGCAGACCAGCGTCAGGCTGATGCTGCCCCAGCGTGCAGCAACACATACCCAGGCCACCAGATTCCCCTCGCCCCAGGGAGGGCACAGCTAGGGACAGTGGTTTGCATATTGGTCCAAAATCTGGGGGAGAAGATGCACACGTCAGCCAAACTCCAGGGTTTCTGCTCTTGTTAGAAGCGAGGACAAACACCAGAGGCAGAAGCCCCGTCAAGGCCTCTCGTTAGCAGACACGGTTGTCATTAAGCTGCCCCGGCCACCCTGTCAGGTTAGTTCTGGTCACACACCAAACCAACCCAGCAGTTAAAATGGAAAAGCGTCATCTTCAACCACACACGCTCCACCTGCACCGCTCGGCCTCTCACTGCCAGGAGGTTTAGTGGGGGAGCCGGATGCTTCGCCCTGACCAGGAGCCGCCCAGCGCCTGAATGCCACCAGCCGTAAGGACTTTTGGGATTGTCCCTCTGGACTGGCATGTCTGGATGACGAGGGTCTGCTGGGAGCCCTCCCTCTGCAGCAGATATGTACTGAGGCTGAGCAGCCCCTACTTCCCAAGGGGAAAGCTCAGGTGGCTTTTGGGCCTATTCTGTGCCAGTGGCAGGGCTTGTGCCAGGTGCTAGGGACGTGCACGTCCAGCTGCACCCACACCACACAAGCCCTGGTAAGGTGGACACCTGCTCCCCACTAGTGAAACCAGGCAGGATGAGGTAGACCAAGCCTCACCAGAGCTAATCCTGCCCTGAACCCACTCGTGGGGCTGGGCTCGCTGTCACAGTAGATTTGCGAGCAACCATCACCTCCTGCACCCCACTCTTCTCCACTCCCTAGCCCTCCCAGGTCTCAGAGCAGTCCCCTCACCCCCTCCACCCCAAGATGTAAGGGATGGAGATGCAGATTTTGGGGTCCTTGCGAGGCTCCTGGAGTAACACAGCACTGAGTCAGCAAAATAAAAACTGGGGATTTCACAAGACCTAGCTCTCGAGAAAAGCCAGAATTTTAACTTGTGGGGATTTGCAAAGCACAGAAGGACAGATTATTTTGCTGGGGGGTGTGTGTGTCATTTTTGCTGTGCTGCATCCACCCCTGGAAAAGGAGCCTCCCTCCTGCTCCCACAGCATTAATTATGGCTGCAGCAACTCGGGGCTAATCCCCCTGAAAAGCCGTTGCCTGCATCGACAGTCTCTGCTCCCTTGAACTAACAACTAATTTGAAACACGTCCCCCTCCTCCTCCTGTCTCCTGACACAAATCCCTTTCAGCACTGTCCTGATGCCACCCCGGTGCCGGTGACAGCTCTGGGATCACAGGCTAAAACCTCCCTGGATTTCTGCCACGGCCACCAGCTGCCCCGAGGGCTCGGTGGATTTGGGGGGAATTAATGTGAAACAGCCCAAACCAGGCTGAGCCCTGCAGGGATGTGAGGGGTCGGCACTCACCACCAGCTCGTGTGAACATTGGAATCTTAACCCAAACAAAAATTCTTTTTGTGGGGAAAAGAAGGTGAAAAAGGAGGCCCTAATTCAGTATTTGCAGCAGAGGAGGGAAGAGGGATAATATCCTCCTACACTGTCCAGACAGAGCTAGGAAAGCTCAGGACACTGGAGCTAATGGGAACCGTTTTCCCAAGGGTGGGAAACAGGAGGGACCCTCAAGGCCCCTCGTGCATCTCACCTGTCAGAGCCGGCTGCATTCGGGGCTGTGGGGGCTGCGGGCATCGGCTCCCAAGGCACGGCACGGCTCCGAAGCAAAGCCATGCAAAATCCACCCCCCGTCACCTGGAGGCAGTGGGGAGGGGACCGGGGGGCTGCAGGCCACCAGCTACTCACTGCGAGCCGGTAACTCTGCATCATTTTATCAAACTCCTCATCAATCTTTTTATATTTCTCTTCCGTCTGCGGGGTCAGCGCAAACACTTCATCCCCTTCGGGGCTCTCGCACTCCCTGTGCTTCTTGTTCAGCGCCTGTTACGTTTGGGGGGACACGGGGGTGTCGGGGAGGGAGCAGGGGATGAGGTTGGGAGGAAGTCGAACAGAAGAGAAACAAAACAGAAAAGAACATATAATGAGGGTTTTCCAGCCATGGGCAGGTACTTACACCGTATCGCTTGAACAGGATATCCAGATCCTCGCTGCCTTTGCGGTATTTATCCTCCATCAAAGGGCTCTGGTCTATGGAGTCGTCACCGTCAGGCTCCGGGCTGTCACAGCCGTTAAAACCTTTCTTTCTTAATGTCTGAAAACACAACCGTGACAGTCTGAGATCCATGAGTGGGGATGGGGAGCACAGGCAGCTCCCCCCGGAACACCCACCAGCCCGGACGGATCACAACTTGCCCTCGCACAAATCAACACCATGGCCCCAAGATGCTGTTGACCTCAACAGGGTCAAAAAGTTAGGATAGAGATCCTAGGTTTGGATGACAGGGTGTCTCTAATTTAGGAATTACAGCACAGGGAGGAATGGAGAGAAACTTCCTTGCTTTCAAAGGCTCTGTTTATGCTGGAGCTGAACTTGGCCCCACACCAGCTCAGGCACATTTGTCACCTACAAGTACCACATCATGGAGGGGAAATAAACCTTAATGCTCTCTGCTTTACTGCAAAAACCAGGGAAAACCTGCTCACAAACAGAAAAATAAAACCCAAAATTATAAGCAAAGAGTAGCTCATCCTTGACAAAACCAGACGGGTGGCATTTACCAAACACAAAGGTGCCACGGGAAGAGCATCACAGGACAGGGCATGTGGCACAGTGACAGCTGCGAGCGCTGCTGGGGGTGGCACAGGGGGGCGATGGTGACAACACTGGGCAGCAAACCCCACGCCAAGACTGGACTCACGAGCAGGAAAGGTCCCCAGCATTGCTGCACCAAGGTAACAAGGAGACATCTCCTCATTAGGAGGAGCCCAGTGACCGCCCGTCTGGGCCATGCACAAGGGACAGTGACACCCCAAAGTCCCTCACTCGTGCTCAGCAGCCAGTTGAGATCCACATTCAATCACTCTATTTTCAACATAACAAAAGCAATCAGGCATTATGATGGAACCAGCACTTGCCAACTCAGTTTTTTTTAGAAGTCAAAGCTACAGAATTTCCTGGAAGTCTCAGTCCCTTTTCATGCCAAAACCAGCAGTGGGGGAAAAAAAAAGTCTTGACAATTCTCTGTCTTCCTAAACAGCAATAAGCATCTCCATTCTGAGGCCAAAGTGTGTTCAGGAGTGGCTCTTCCACTACCTGTGAGCTCTGGGAAACACAAGGCTTGTAGGGGAAGTTTTGCTGGAGAGAATAAAAACCAGGATGTCTTCAGAAAGACTGGGAACGCCGTGGGTAGGATATGCTCGGCACTGGTCCACACAGCACTGGTGCCACATGGCTCCACTTCTCCTGCAAGCCTGGCTTAGTGGATGCTTGTGCCAGGTGGCCACGGCCAAGCAATGGGCACCACCCCCACCCCCAGCCTGTTCTCCATCCAGCTGAAGCTTTTCACAATATTTTCCATTAAAATTACTCCTTCCGTGGCGCCATTTTCACCCTCGTTGCTGGATTCAGTCGCAGAAGGGAAATGTCCTCGTCCAGCTCCAGCTCCAGCAGTGAAGGACCAGGCTCGCTCCCGGCCACAGTGGCATCTGACACTCTGCTTGGCATTACCAGTAATTCCTGCTACCTAATAACTATTAACTAATTACCTAATAATAATGATTCTGAATAATTCTTATACCTAACAATAATATTCCTAATAATTCCTGGTACCACAAATTCCTGTGCTGTCCCTCTATAGAGAAAGGCAGTGAGAATTGGAGTCACTGCCATGAACGGGACATTCCCAGGGCTCATTCTGCAGGTTCCCAAGGACTTTTCCCTACTATTTTTCTATTTTTTTTATGTGTCCTTGTTTGTTCTCAGAATGGCCCAAAAGAGGAAGAGGCACTGCTGGTGGGGAAGGAACAGCTTTGCCTTCTTTTTTTTTTTTTTTTTTAAACTGCTTTTTGTGGATTTTTTTTTCCAAAACCTTTTGTTTCACCGATGCAGCTGAAAGACAGAAAGTTGAGTTTTTCTCTAAAAAAAAAAAAGAGTTTTTTCCTTTTTCTCTTTCAGAGGCAAAATGGAAAAAGTCGTTCCATGATCAGCAGAAGGGTTGAGGCTGGGTGCTGGGGAGACTCTCCAGTGTCTCAGGGGCTGTGCCATCTCGCCACGATTCCTTTTGCAGGGACAGGAACTGGACCTCACACCTCTGCCTTCCCATCCCTGGCTGGGAATTGGGAAAGCAATCCCTCACATCCCTGGAAGCTCCTCTCTTCCAGCAACAGCTGCTGGCAGGTTCAGAAGCTGTGGGAATGGACAAGCCATGGCCATCCCTTGGGACCTTTGAAGGAGGGAACCTCACAACAGAATTTTTAAGAGGTTTCAGCCAAGCAACAACATCCTTCTCCTTTCTAAAACCTGCAGCAATAACACAGAGGCCTGGATGTTTTAGACAGCTCCCAGTGCCCTTGTCTCTGCCCCCTGTTCGCCACCCAAACCAAGAGCAGGGATGAGTGAGGGGCTGCTGCAGTATTTTGCCATTTCCAAGTCCTCATGAAATCATCCCAGGGATTGCTTCCTCAACAAGGCTGTCAAGGAAAGCAGTGGAATGGGGTGGACGTGGCTCTGCTCACCTAGACCCTGAAACAGCTCACAGCATTGCCCTTTGCCTTTCCCAAGGTCTTTCTCTGTGGTCTAACATATTTAGTGCCCAACACAGCTTTACCTTGGTCTCCTTGCTCTTCCCAGACACCAACTTCTTAAAATCAGTCATAACTTCATTGTCTGTGAGACCCACAGCTCCCTGCCTGGGTGGGTTTGGAGCATCCTGAGCTGTGAGGGGCTGCTGCAGCGCTGTCATCCCCGCCCCAAGCCTGTTGTAACCCTGCCTGTAACCCTGGCCACAGCGAGGGGCTGCTGGAGCTGCAGGGAAGGGGAAGGGGACGAGCTCCAGAGCTGGCACAGCCAAGGACAGGGTTGATCTGCAGCACGGTGGGACGGGAAGCACCGGCGGCGGTGAGTGACCAGGGCCCGAGTCGCAGCAGGACACGAGCCAAGGCAGCCCAGCTCGCAGCAATCTGCTGCTCAACAAGAGGTTTGGGACAACAAAATGCCATTATCAGCCATACAGGCATTGGCTGCTGGTTCTTTCATTTTTTTTTGACAAAAAAAATGTGTGTCCCACATTTTTAGCTTTTTAAGATGATGTAAAAGGAAAACAATCCTACTGGAGCGGGAATCAAACCCAAAGATTCCTGTTTTCGGGATCTCTGTAAGGTCTTTTAGAAAAGAGCTTTCCTTCTCATTCCTCGTCATTCTCTTTGCCAGGGTAAAAACAGAAGATACAAAGAGGTTTTCAGGAAACCTTTCTGTCACTGGGCTGCAGCCAGTGGAACACGACTATTTTTCATATACAAGAGACTTAAAAGCAATTCTTTCCGAGTAGAAAATTTTCAGAGGAGAAAACCAGGGTGAGAACTTCCCACAGCAAAAACTGACCTCGCTCATTGTCTGCCCCTCTCGCTGCCACCCCCAGGACCCCCATTCTATCAGGATCCACTGTAGGTCCTTCTTTTCCAGGAAATATTCCCACTCCCATGATCCCAGCTCACACAGGAGCACAATTCCAACCTGAAGAGCGTGAGAGAGCAGCATGAAATGCAGAACATGTGAGAGGAAACGATGCTTGACCAGGATGTGGTTGACTTCCTTAGAGGAGGGAGACTCAACCACCCTGGGCTTTGGGGAAGTCTGGATGAGGATAAGGATGAGAATGAGGATGAGGATGAAGATGAGACACCGGCAGCTGCCTCTGTACTTTGCCACCTCCCCAGCATCCTGCAAAATGCCTGATTTTACACATCCTGGGGAATGACAACTCCAGGAAGGAGAATTAGGGAAAAATCAGCCCCCCTCCAGAACATTCAGCCAAGGAAAGGACAGAAATGGCTGTGTGGCTTTAACTGGCTGTGGAGCATCCCAGTGCCCGGTGAGCTCTGCTCTGCCCAAGTCCCTTATCAGAAACTGGCACGTCAGCCGGGCTGCGAGGAAACGAGAAGCGACAGCGAGGAGCAAAGCCGGCGTGATCCCAGGCCGGGCGCGCACGTGGCACCCAGCGTGCCTGTCTGGGGGCTCAGCTGTCCCCCGCCTGATTAAGGAAACCCCCCTTTCTGCATTAGAGAGATTTTCTCAGACTTAAAAGCTTCCAACAGCCAGGACTTTGCTGGGCACGGAGAAGCCGCAGGGGTTGCGTGGCTGAATCCCGCTCACGACAGCCACTGCCGAGCCCTGGTATGGCTGAGACACAGGGATGCCCCCATGGGGGATGGTCCCCAAAAGGCAGTCGGGGGGTGTGGAACCCCTCTTGAACTAGGGCTGTGTATGCTCATCCCAGAGCAGCTCTGCCTCCTGCTAAATATCCAGGGGGGTAAACTGCTCCAGGGCATTCCTGTGCAGCATAGGCTGGGGTGCCTCCAGTGCTCCCCACACAGATGCCCCTCCCCACAGCCAAAAATCAGGAGATCCTCACGTTTACTGTTGTTTTAAAACATAATTTGGACAGAGCAACTTGTCCTGCCCTGAGCTGTGGTAACAGTGCCCAACCTCTGGAGCCACCGCCCACTCCCCCTCCACCAGGAAAATAAAATCAGGAGGCTTCTGCCTTGATTCCCCCAGGTCCCAGCTGCTCCTCATCCTTCCTGAGATGATGCCAGAGTCCCTCAGAGCTGCATCCCTCAGCAGGAAGGGGCTGTGGGCATCACAGGGAAGGTGGGTCCTTGAAATCCACTTAAAATCATATTTGGTGACAAATTCCCAGCCTCAACCTTCATGGTCTCTAAATGCTTAACACAGGAAACTTCTGAAATGTGAAGATACTTTCCGGGAGTCACGTTCAACTGGGAGACACCAAGAAACATGAGATAAATTGGGTTTGTGTGCAGTGGGGACACAGCTGGGCTGGTGGGACCTGACCTGGGCGAGGGGAAATGGAAATCAGTACCAGGAGCAGGAATGGTCTCCTGGGGGTATGGATGTGGGAGAGAAACCGGTAAAAATCTTAAAGCAGCCCTAACCCTGTTCCAAGACAAGACGAAGATGAGGAGGGAAGCTTGAGCAGCCTCCAGACCTGCCTTCACCCCTGTGGGTTTCGCTCCGTGACGGCTCTGCCAGCAAGATGTGCCGAGCCCAGTGTGTTTGGGCTCCTTTTCTTGCCATTCACCAATATCCTTCCGCTCCCAATGTTCCTCTCCTTGGCTTTGGATGCAGATCCAGCTTTTCATGTGGTGCAAACACAGTGTTTCTTTGGGTGCCAAGGACTGTGTGTAACTTGTCGGCTTGGGAGTGTTTGCATCTTGGACCATACGGGAACAGAGAACGCTGCCCAAAATGTTTACGGTATTTTTAGGCCAAGACAAATCTGTTCGGCACTGCAAGCGCCGCAGTCTGAGCATCCCGGAGACGCTGCGCTGGCGAGCGTGGCAGGGAAACGCGCCTGCAAACCCCCAGCATCTTCAGAGAGAAGGGGCATCACCTGGCTCAAATGGGCCAAAAAGGACATTTCTGAACCATTTCTAAGGCCCCTACGCAACTGTGCGGTGGCAGAAGAGTCTCCAAACCCCAGCGAGAGAAGGCAGATGCTGCCAGATGCTTGGCCATGGCTCAACTAGATGGACAACGAGGTGAAAACCTCAAGTCCAAACCTCTCAAAAAGACACATTTCATAGAAAATAAAAAAAAAAGAAAGCAAGATTTAGGGGGCAGGTTGGGTTTTTTCCCTTCTCCTTCATGAAATCAAAGCCTGAGCATGCTGGCCAAGACGCACCAAAGGGATTCAAAGGCAGAAGTGGTTCAGCCCGATTCCTCCAGCAGCACAGGGCTCCGCTCTGTCACCAGCGGCTCTGCAGGCATTAACTGATGCCGTAATGCTGCTAATTACCCAGCCAAGCCCTTCGTTTGCCCAGATTTAATGGCATCTGATGACCCCACAGCTCTATCTCCGTGGATGTGACCAATGGCTGAGGCACCGCTGGCACCTTTGTGTGAGCCAAACACCGTGTGCTTGGGCCCGGTGATGCTCTGCCAGCACCAGGGATGAAGACAAAGCAGTGGAGAGGGCCAGCACAGGGGCACTGACAGCACATGGCAGCTGAGCATCTCCTGCAATGCCAGTAGACTGGAGAGAGCAGCCTTGGCATGAGCACCGTCTGGACGTGTCAGTGGCAGTGCCAGGCGTGGGTCAGACTGGACTTGGTTGGGTCATCCCTGGAGACCCACAAAACACAGATGGACAAGCCTTGAGCAACCCCACCAACCCGTGAGCTCGGCCGTGCTTTGAGCAGGGGCTGGACTAGAGGCGCCCAAGGTCCCTCTCATCTGAACTCCTCGTGCCCTCCCACAACCCCACTGTGTCTGTCAGAACATTGGGCTGTGGCAATGCCACCAGCTGCACCAGGCACCCCACTGCAGCAACCCCATGAGATGCCTCCAAACACGTGGTTTGCCTGGACCACAGCAAAGTCCCACAAAGCAAACCTGCACCTCAGTTTCAAGGCAGCAGGTCAACACATAACTCGAGACAGCTTCATAACTCTACCATAACTCTACCACCCAAATGGAGTACTTTTGTAGGCTGAACCAAAAGGATGCAAAATCCATCTGGCACTGAGTGTGGAAGGTCTGCTCGCTCCATCCCCACCCTGCACCAACCTCCTGCATTCGGTGGGGTGCCAGACCCAGCCCTGGCTCCACCACAACAGCAGAGCCGGGGAGCGGACGGGTGGCCTCACCTCGATGATGTCTGCGTTGGTCCGGCTCTCGTGGGGCTCGTTGTACTCAGTGTACTTGAGCAGCACCTTGTCCATGTCGGTGCTGGCATATTGGAACAGCTTGTTGGAGTGGTTGAAGATGATGAGGGCGATCTCGCAGTCGCACAGGACACTCAGCTCATAGGCTTTTTTCATCAAGCCGAACTTGCGCTTGGTGAAGGTCACCTGAAAGCAAGGACAGCCGTGGTCAGAAACTCTGTCCATGCTGCCACAGACCTGACACCTCCCAGAGACAAATGGAATGACCACTGGACAAAGAGCAAAAGGAAAGGGAGGGCAGTTTCCTCAAATGGACCCAACCCCAAGCTCTCCTCTCTTTTTTCCCCTCTTCCAACCAGTTCATATCGCTGCCTATTTTGGGATCCTCCAAAAGCAGACACTTCACAAGCACAAAGATGATTATCAGCGTTGGAAATCACATATTGCCAAATCAAGAGAAAATAAATTTCAGCAAAATCCCCAGCAGAGCTGCCATCTGTCTGGGGGCTGCGGGTTCTCGGCAGTTTTTAAGTTGAATGTTCAAGTGATGGAGATCTCGTCCTCGCTTGCCGCAGTAGCACTGTGAGCACCCAACCTTAGGGGCTGCAGAGCTGGGGGCTCAGCACCCAGAAGCTGCCTTGGGGTGCCCACCCCACCCTTGACTCACTATCCTGCTCACCAGCCCCCACTTCTCCTGGGAGGCTGTGCTTCCCCAAGGGCACCCCGAGCCCCCCGTGCTCCCTCTTGCTGTCCCCAAAACCTTGTTGGGGGGTTTTCTACATTGCCTGCCTACTGGGGTCCCCTGTCCCCCAACCTGCCCTGCCTTGAGCTGTCACCAGAGATGCTGGGTAATGAGGCAGTTTCTGCAGGACTGATCCTGGTGAGCTGGCTGGGGCCCGGGGCCAAACTGGGTGCTGGCTCCAACACCCGCTCCAGCTGCCGGGCAGACATTGGGCTGCGATTCCCAGCCCACGCTCAGCTCTTGCTGCCACGCTCCTAACGGGACCCAGCTGGAGGGGAGGGAGCTGGTTTGGGGCTCCCAGTCCCTGCTGCAGTGCAGACAGCTGTTGAGGGTCCCTCACCCCTCCAGAACACGTGGCACACTGCTGGGGAAGATGCGATGCTTGGCCAATGCCCTCTCAGCAAATAAAAAGCAGAAAAAGACAATAAAAGGCAGGAGGTCACAGTTTTGCTCTAAGCATCGCTCTGGGGGTGAAGCAGCTGCCGGGTGAAGGGCTGGAGTCGAGCTGAGATGCCCTTGGGTGCCGAGAGCTGCTCCCTCGCTGCACGGGAGGGCTCGACCCCACTTTGGGCCTCCACCACAGCATCGATTTTGCAGCTGAACAGCTTTAATGTGCAGAGCTGAGGGAGGAGAGTGAAGGAGGCTGCTGCCTTTGCTCAACCCGAGTCAGTGGCGTCACAGCAACAGTCCAAAGAGCTCAACATGGAGCTTCCCAGCCCATGCCAGCGCTGAGGAGCAGTGCCACCACGATGCTGCCACAGCACCCAGCACACACCCCCCGGGGTCCTGCACCCCTCGAGACAGAGCCGTGCCCCCGCCTGTGGTGGGAGGGCAGAGCAGGGGCAGGTCTGGGCACGCTCGGCACAGGGAGCTGCTGCCCCTCCCCACCATCTCCCAGAGATGATTAAGCAGTAACGAGATTCGGCTCTAATCGCCTCATCCCCTGGAAAGTGCAGGGCTGGCACCCCGCGCCGCTGCACCCTCCACGTGCGCCCGCTCTCGCTGCAGCCGGGCTGTGAGCACTGGTGCTCACGTTGCCAGCGCTGCCCCAGCCCTGGCACGCTCTGACGCAAATTAAATTACTTGAGGGCCAGCTCTGGGGTCATCAGCAATTTCCCCTCCTCGGTGGCATCCTGGGCCTCTTGGCCACCCAAAATCGCTGCTGCCAGGTGCTGGACCCGGCTGCTCCCAAGACCAAGAGCCGGCAGTGCCACGCAGCAGCCAGTAGCCGCATGGTCAGCTGATATTCTGCTCCTCCATGGCAGGACAGGCACTAAAACCAAGCCAGGGCTCCCCAGCACTGTGGCAGCAGCGTTTATGGTCCCACGTCCCTACCAGAGACCGGGTGCTCTGCCGCAGCTCCAGCAGCACCACAGCCTGGCACGACCTGCCTCACTGTCCCGCCGGGACGGCCCCACAGCTCTGACTCACCCTCTAAGCAGCCCGAGGAGCCCCTGAGAGGAAAACACACCATGTCTTTGCCAAGACAGAGGGAACAGCAGAGGGTGGTTGCTTCTGCTGCTGCCAGTGCTGGGGATACCTCACCAAAATACACCTTGCCAAGCACCACGAGACCTCTCATCCACTGAGATCAGAGGCAACAGGGTGAGGCCGAGGCGTGTGAGCAAGGGGGCAGCTCTTGGCAATGAAGACCAGGAACAAGCTTGGTTTGGGTTTTGCCCTTGAGTGTGGGGTCACCTTCCCCAAACCAACCAGCAACCTGGGCAGAGTTGAGCAGAACCCAAAGCACCAAATTATCCCTCTACAGATGAGGAGATATTCCCTCTGCAGACAGGAACAGGGCAGAGGAGCATTCCTCTGTCTTGGCACCCTTACTTCTTCCAGAGAAAAGCAAAGATTTACCATTTAGCCATCACATAACACAAAGGCATCACCTAATGCTGCCTTGGGCATCCACCCATGACCCGGGACAGAAACCCCAAACCTTCCCCTGACGCCGTGCACGAACCCGATCTAGAAGAATTAACCTTGTAAGTCTAAGAAGGTAATCAAATCTCATGCTTCAGGGCATAAGCCGATCACCAAAGGGGTCAGGAAGGAATTACTGCCCCACACTAGCAGGGGATTTTTGCCTTTCCCCTGATGCAAACCATATTGGCGGTTGCCAGAGTCAGCGGCCTGGCCCTGAAGGACTGATGGCCTGATCTGTCGTGGCAAATCCTCTCCAGTAATTCCTCTAATGACATTAGTGACTCTTACTTGCTCTCGTCTCCTGGTTTTGGCTGCTGCTGTAATTCACAGAATCACACAGTGCTTTGGGTTGGAAGGGATCTAAAAGCTCATCTTGTCCCACTCTTCTGCCACGGGCAGGGACACCTTCAGTGAGACTAGGTTGCTTCAAGCCAAATCCAACCTGGCCTTGAACACTTCCAGGGATGGGGCAGCCACAGCTTCTCTGGGCAACCTGTGCCAGGGCCTCAACACCCTCACACAGAAGAATTTCCTCCTAATATCTAACCTAAATTCTCCCCCTTTTCAGTTTAAAACCATCCCCTCCTTGTCCTGTCTCTCTAGGTTCTTGTCCAAAGTCCCTCTCCAGCTCTACTGAAGCCGCTGTAGGCACTGGAAGGCACTCTAAGGTCTCCACAAAGCCTTCTCTTCTCCAGGCTGAACAATCCCAGCTGCTCCAGCTTGTCTCCAGAGCAGAGCTGCTCCAGCCTTTAGAGCATCTCCGTGACTTCCTCCAGATCCACTCCAGCAACTCCACGTGCTGTTGGAGCCTCCATGTGGGTTTGTGGTCTGTGCCCCCATGAAAGGCAGAATGTGGGACATGAGCAGGGTCAAACTCACTGATGCCGCAGGCTCGGTGTGAGATGCAAGGGAAGAGCTTCACCTCACAGCAAAGGCTCTGGAGAGCCCCTGTTCAGCCTTAACTCTCCCTGAGGTTCACGATGCCTCAGCAGCCCTCAAACCACAGTTAGGGATGAAATCCTCAGCAGCACAAGCAGAACCGCAGGTGTCGAGAGCGGCTCTGCCTCCAGCTCCTCGCACAACCATTCTCCAGCACATCCCCGCACTACGCCCATTCCTCATCTCTCCCTCTCCCGACAGGCGCAGGTGCCGTGGGAGCCATCCGGGCACACCGAGGATGGTGCACAGAGCTGCCAGCCCTACATTTCCAGCAGCAGCACCGCAGCACAAAGCCCCATCCATAATTCATCAGTGCCGGGCTGCTCCGCTCCTGGAGAGCACCGGAGAGCCGAGCGTGCCCCCAGAGCGCGGGGGCTGCCGTGGAGGCAGGAGTGGGCTGAGGATGCTCCCAGACACTGGGTTTAAGCCAGCTTAGCCAACAGCCCACAGCCACAGCGGGAACACACGCACGGACGCCTCTCATCCTGATCCGCAATAACAGCCGGAGAGGGAGGCAATGGGAGAGAGAAGGAAGAGGCAGCTCCAGTGAGACCTCACTGCGGCCTTTCAGCTTATAAAAAAGATGGAGAGGGACTTTTCACATGGGCAGATATTGATGGGACAAGGGAGGATGGTTCTAAAATGATGAATGGGAGATTTAGGTGGGATGTCAAGGAAAAAGTCCTTCCCTGTGAGGGTGGTGAGGCCCTTGCACAGGTTGCCCAGAGAAGCTGTGGCTGCCCCATCCCTGGAAGTGTTCAAGGCCAGGTTGGATTTGGCTTGGAGTAACCTGGGCTAGTGGAAGGTGTCCCTGGCCATGGCAGGGGTGTGGGACAAAACGGTCTTTAAGGTCTCTTCCAACCCAAACCATCCCATGATTCCATGAGATGACGTAAGAGGGGACACTTCTGACTCTGGGGAGCAAATCCTGGCACTGCTCATGTACAGTGTGGAACAGGAGGGTTCTCACCACCTTTACAGCTCCCACTGTGGTGGATAGAGCAGATCAGCAACCCACTGTCTGGAGCAGCCCTTCACAAAATGTCCCATCTTCCTGGTGTGTCCTTGTTTCCCAAAGAAAGGGAGCAGCGAAAGTAACTGATTGCAAAGCTGCGCTGATGACCAATTAAACAGCTGCAGCTTTGCTGACACTCAACTTCAACAGGGCTGGGTTTTTGGGAAGCAAAGCGAGACGTGCCGTGCTGGGGTGGGGAGCAATGCTCCCATACTGGGTTTTGGAAGAACCAGCCCAGCCAGGGCTGCAGCTGCTGCCAAGGGAAAACCAATGTCCCCCAGCCCAGGGAGCTGGGCTTTGGGGAGAACACGTGACATGGGAGACACGCTAAAGCCACAGCATCCGGCCGGGCAGAGCAACTACTGCTGCCAAATCCCACCTGGTGCAGCAAGACCCCCAAAAACAGCCCTACCACCTTGACTGTTGTCTCTGGCAGAGAAGTGCCTCCTTCCTTTCCCGAAGCCTTATCCAGCAGGGCCAGGCTGTGCCACCCCCCTCCAGCATTACCAAATATTTTCCATTTGTCTGAACTTCCAACAGGGCTCCAGTCACTGTGGATCCCTCGCTCCCCCCTGCAGTGCTGCCCCATAAAATACAGCCTGGCTCCTTTAAAAACCCCTAAGGCCCCGTTTCCTCGTCATTATGGACACAAACAGTGCCAGGAGCAACTGGGACATTAGCAAAGCCCATTTGATCTTCGTCCCAGCCCCCTCCCCTCAAATGAAGCTGTAATGAGGAAAACCTGCCATTTCCTATTGTTCTGCTGCAGAGCAATAAACTGGTTCATCCAATTCTGTTATTTGCCACTCTTTAAGCATTAGGAATATATCCACACTTTTTTTTGTTGGTTTTTTTTTTCTGTTTTTACGTAATAAAAGCATCAGGAAAGAAGTGTGGCAGGCCACTCTGGGGTGTGGAGGTTGCTGGACTAAGGGTAGAGGCTTGGATCTGCTTAGCCAAACTCCAGGAGCACAAGAAGCAAAGGGACCTGCCTGGAAGTCTTGTGGTTATGGGGAGTACACCGATGGAGTCATCCCAGAGCAAACCTGGGCCAGCAAAGAGCTGCTGCTCCGCTGCTCCGGCTCAAGGAACACGGAAATTTGGGAAAAACCTGATGGGTTTTTTTTCCCTCTGAGATACACAAATGCATTCCTACACACATGCACATGCATGCGTATCTCGGGCTTGGCTTCAACACAGCCCAAGGAAAAAAACCGTGGAGCCATGTAAGTTTTCAATTGAGAAGAAAAAAAAAAAAAGGAATAATTTGGGTTGTTTGCGTTCAGCAAAATGGATACTTGTTGTGGCTGTTTTTTATTGGAAAAACCACATGGAAAATGTCAACTGAAATATATTTTCTGCAAGACTTAAAAAAAAAACAAAAAGGGAACTAACTAAGTGGAGAAGATACTTTCTTCTGGAAAAGCACTTAGATGGAAATGGTGTGAGGAGCTCCAAGGCGAGGAGCAACGCCTGGGTGGGGGCCGTGGTGCAACGGGGCTGTTTGCCTGGTTCTAGGATCTGCCTGGATCCAGCCCCTGCGCCGAGTCTCACCCATCTGCTTATTTTATGGGTTGGGAATAAAACAGCACCAGTGGCCCAAAATGAGATGGAAATGGGTGGTTTTGAAACAGAACCCCTAAAATCCCCAATGGCACAGGAGGAGAAGGGGTGAGGAGGGGCAGCACCGACCTGCCGATTGCGCTCGTCCGTGATCCGCTGGATCTGGATCTTTTTTCTCCCCATCTTCTCTGGAAATCCTCACCAGACCCGGGACAACTTCAGCTCAGGGGAGGGGAGAAGTAACTCGCTTCAAAACGCTTTCATTAAAGAGCGTCGAGGGGCTTTTTTCACGGGTGGAAAACAAACCCAAAAAAAGCCAAAACAAAAAAAAAAAGAGAGTTTTGGGTGTCTCCGTGCTCAGTTCATGGTACCCTCGTGTGCGGCCGGATCCAGCGGGGCTGAGCCGTCAGCAGCTGCTCAGAAACCTGCACAAGGAGAGAGACAGGAGTGAGCCAGTCTGTTCCCAAACCGCACCCAGGACCCAGTGCCCTCCTGGCATCCTCCCTCCGCCGGTGCGGATCCCACTCCCCAGGCCATGGGGGTCTCTGGTCCTTCCTCCCATTCAGCTCTGGGACCAGAAAGGCTGCAGAGGGATTTATCCAACCTGGTCTTGAAGAACCCCAAGGACGGAGCCCAAGAGCACCCGCGCTACAGGACACGTGTGGGCCGGGCATGGCGATGCTCAGGGAGGAGGAGGAGACGGCAGCAACGTGCCCATGAATCATTATTCCTCTGTGACACTCCAGACTTTTTTTTTCTCTTAATAAAGTCATAAGTAGTCGAGTGGCTGGTGATTAGCTCGGGCAATTTAAATCCGTCTCCAATTTCTGCACTAATCTTCAATTTGGAATTTTAAAATATCTTTATTTGATTACTTAAAAAAACCTTATAACCAGGCACAGAAACCTAATTCTTATGAGAAAGGAAGACTCTGAAGGCAGCTGAGACAGCCTGGCCTTCCACTGAGCTCAGCCACAGCCAGACATTGGATGTTTCCATTGATCTGGGGGGGGGGGGGAGTGGATTGACTCGGGAATATCTTGTACCCTAAGCTCTCCCAAAGGGGTGAGTCCACAGATCCCAGAGCATCCACATGGTTGCAGCCTCACTCTGGGATCCCACAGCAGATCACAGGGCAGGGACTCAGCCCCCCTGGGCACCTCCATCCCCTGATGCCAGAGGCTCTATCCAGATGTACCAGGGCACCTCCTGACACAGCCTCCCAACCCCATTTCACCCCCATTTCTCAGCATGTGCTGCAGTGCAGCGAGGGGGACAAAGAGGGAACTTCAGCCAGTTCATTTTCCACAGGTATGTTTTTCTCCCAGCTCTCTCTGCGAGCGGCTGGATAACAGCAGTGATAACATTGCATTTAAGGCGAGGTGCCCTGTGCCAAGACCCGGGTAGAGGGAAAAGCCAGTCCCAAAATAGCTTCCTATCTGCCTTGACTTGGCAGTCCCAGCTCTTGGTCTTGTTACAAAAAGCATGAAAAAAAAAGCTTTTTCTTCTATCCCTTCATCCCAAATGCACTGCAGCAGCCGCAGGCAACCCTGACCGAGCTCCTCCTGCTCCTCTCCCACCCTAGAGCCCCCTCAGGCCACACTGAAGGCCCCCAGGGACCTTGGCCCCGTCCTCTGCCCTCTCATCAGACCATGTTTCAACAACAAACAAGCCCTGATGGTCTCACTTCCACACTTGTTTTTGGGGTTCATTGAGTCATGTGAGTCGCTTAATCTTTTTTTCGGTAAAATTATTCATCATGCACCGTCTTCTATGGTTTAGTGCAGGTTTAAGCAGCCCACAGGAGAATGGGGAGACTTTTTCCCCCCACCCCCAAAATCCACCATTTGCCCTTCAGGGAGGATGCGCAAGAGGAAGCACAGGAAGGAGACTGAAGAGACAAAGGGTAGCAAAACCTGCTTTTTTTTTCCCCTTGTAAATCCCCCCAGGAAGACTCTTTGCAAGGACAGACCATACAGGGATGGCATTTACTGCTTGGACCATTATTTCTCAAAATTGGTGAGTGTTTCCCTCCCAGCAGCAAATGGGAGGGACCGTCCGGCTGTGAGGAGCATTGTCACCACGGGGGATGCTGAGCCAGTGCCAGGGATGTCCTTCAGCTCCCTGTCCCTCTGTGGGCAGCCTCAAAAAGACAGGTCCCACAGTATTGCCAGTCCCAGAGCATCGCTGACCCCAGAGCATCACCAGTTCCAGACCACTGCCAGACCCAAAGCATCACCAGTCCCAGAGCATCACCAGTGCCCCAGCATCACCAGTCCACAGCATCACTGGTCTCAGAGCATTGCCAGTTCCAGAGCACCACTGCCCTGGCTGGCACCAGCAAGCAGGGAATGCAGGTGCTGGGCTGCCACAAGATTATCCCTCAAAGGTTGGTGATACGGGAAGAGCCAAAAGGAAAATGAGGACTTTTGTTACATCCACCTGGAGTGTCTGCTCAGTGTTTCCCTCACTGTGAGGCCTCAGGGGACAGAGTCCACAGCGCAAGGCTCGAGGCCAAGGTGAGCATTTTGCATGCATAGAGAGCTTTGGCAGAGGAGGAAATTTCTGCCGGGTTTGCTTTGCCACTTTTCCCTTCAGAGATGCCATTTCTTTAGACTGGTTGAAAAATATTCACCTTCAGCATCTTCAAAACCGCCAGCAGCAGCACGAAGTAGCAACAGCTCCACATCCGGACCCAGGGCAAGATGCTAATTCTTTCCGAGTGCTGCAGCTCTTGGACAGAGAAACCCTCTGAAAGACGGCGGATTTACTGTCCAAACCAAAGAGGAACTCTCCAGAAGCAACAATAAACACTGGAGAACAACGGGTAGTAAATTTAAACTGAGTGAAAGGAAACATATTTTAACACAATTTCGTTGTGGGACTTGTTCACAGGATGCTATTGCAGCCAAAAGCTCCAGAGTGCTCGAAAAGAGATGGGATATTTGTAGGGATGAGAAGATCCCAATGCTGCTCATGCCTGCCCTGACCTCTGCACGAGCCGACGCTTCTTGCATGGGAGCAGCGGGATTCAAACCACATTCCCCTCCCTGGGCCACAAATAAACCCCAAATGTTTCAATTCAAATCCCCTTTTTCAACCACCAAACCAGATCCTGCTGCTCTGAATCCCAAATCCTGCATCCTCAGCACCTCGGCTGGATGGGGACCACTGTCCCAGCCTCGGGGTTTGCTCATGCCACTGAGTAAAGTTCTCCACAAGAAAAAGGCAACTTAACAGTTTCTTGCTCATCATCATGGGGAGAAAAGGAGTTGCCATGTGATGGTCTTGATCCTTCTCCCCTGCATGGGAAGGAAAACACCCCATTGCAAGGGCAACCATCAGATGGGACGAAGAGGAGGGATGGAGAAGAGCAAGGCATGTTTGCTGCCCTCCAAATGCACTCCACAGAGGGGATTTCAAACTCCTCCCTTTTCTCTTTATGTTCCTGGTGTTGGAGTTGGGGTTTGGGGGTGGGTTTATTTGTTTTTAGGTTGGGGTTTTTTCCCCACCATATTTTTAAACCCAGGTATTTTCACGTTTCCTGCCCAGGTGGCTGTTTCAGAAAGTCCAACCACAGGCTTGAGTTTCTGATCAGCACCTGGAAGTGCAAGAAACCTGGAGAGCTGCCTTTGTTCCTCCTGCCCCCCATGCCAGCACTGCCACTGCCGGCTCAGCCCCAACCCAGGAGCACCCCCTTTGCCCCTGGAGCTCCTTCTCCTTCACCACCAAACTGCTCTGTGTCCCTGATTGCCCAACCCAAGGCATCAGGATCACCCATGACCCTCCTCCCCTCCATGATCAGGTGGAATTTAAGCACCTGAACGTGTATGTAGAGAAGCACCCAGAGCACAGGACTGTTAAAAGGAGTTGAGCTCCTAAATAACTTTCAACCTTTGGGGCCGCAGGTGATTTTATTCAACACAATAACCCCAGTCATTAAAACATCTTCTTTCTCAGATAGCAGCTTCCTTCTCCTGAGCTTGGTTTTCCAAGGAAAACGCTACAGCCTGGAGAGGAAGGTCCAAGGGCATTGAAAGGGACCTACAAACCTGCTGGAAAGCAAACCACTGGCACTGCACCGGCAAAAAGCCACCCTGTCCCTCTTCCGCCGCAGGGAATCTCGGCAAGGATCAGGAAATTCAGCATCGCCCCGGGGAGGCAGCAAGAAGCGCTGGGAGAGAGGCAGCCGCCAGCGCCCGCACATCAACCCTACACCCCCCCCCCGCACTCGCACAAGTGTGACTATCACAGCAATTAGCACACATGCCAATTAACTCCGAGCAGGTGCTGGTTAACTCTGTGCTGAGTAATTCATCCCCGGCTCCCAGTAAATTGCTCCAAATTGGAGAGACGGGCGAGGGAGCAGAGTTAGCATTTTGCAAATGGGGGAAGAAAGAAAAAGCAAAGAGGAATGTCAGCTGGGAGATGTTTTTACAAAACAAGGAATTTGGGGGGCTGGATCCCCAGCTCCAAGAGCTGGGGACACAGGGGAGCTGATAACTCTTCTAAGTCTCTATTTCTGTATTTTTTTACCTACATATTTCTGATCTATTCTACCTGTTTCTAAGTGGCTTCGCCTTGGCTTTGCACAAGCAGTGGGGTGCTCTGCACCGCTCTGTAATTTGTCACTTTTCCATTCCTCCTGAACAGCCCCATGTTTCTGAGCAGGGACACTCAAAGTCTCACATCCACTTTCTATGGCCATTTGCTATTTTTAATATACTTTTATTGCATCCCTTTTTAGTTGCTCCTTACTAAAGTTAGCACAACACACTGCTCCTCTCGAGGGCAAAGGAATTCAGCTGCCCTTCCTTAACGCCCGCCTTGCAAAGCCGTGTGCTCTCAGCACAATGTCAGCTGAGATAAACCAAACCTTGGCCGTGCAGCTGCAGGGGGAAGATCAAAAAGATGAATCCAAAAGCTTTAGGAAGATAAATAAAGGGAAATAAATGCATCCTTTCCAAAAATGTATTTGCCTTTAGAGCTCTTTGTTTTTCCCGGCGTGTGGCACCACGCTCCCCAGTCCACTCGTGCCTGTGCAGAAACACACAGCAGAGCCAGCAACACGGGTGACAGCAAAACTGGGATGGGTTCAACATGGCACTGGTTCAAGGGACGTTTCCCCCATCTCCATCCCCAAACCAGGGCTGGCGCCATGGGGATGTCCTTGGCTGTGAGGAAACCTGCAAAAGCAGCTTCAAAGGACAGTTGGAGCTTGGGTAAAGAAAGGATGGAAAAGGGAAAGAAATAAAACACTGCCCTGTGAAGATGCAGCTCATCTGATGGACGAGGTGAATGGGAGGATATCTGATCATGGCACAGAAAGCCCCAATTTGGAGGGAGAAATGCAGGTGACAGGCAGAGCACAGCCCAACCCAGCTCTGCCCAGGTACCCAATGCTTTTACTGTAGGACTAATCCAC